GAAGTGATAAAATTATTAATTAAAAATGATTTGTTACATAGAGATCTGACATTAAGCATAGCAAGTTTAAAAATAACGTCAGAGTCGATTAATGTGGTTGATTGATTTCTACAGGGAACAGAAATTAGATTTGCAGAGTTGGACCGTCTAACTGCTGTCCTGTTTTGATTTCGTTTTTTAGAATTTAAAAACATTTTTGAGCTGGTGCGAGGAACACACACAGTCTCAATTGGACTAAAATGTGAAAACCCTTGTTGTTCTTTAGCTCCCAGAGTCAGAAGGGAGTCAGCACAGTTCAGTGTTTGGACTGGTAATGCACTGCCAGACGGACAGGGAGCAGTGTTTGCACCGTTGTACTCACCCGGTGCTGGTGAGCAGGAGGCGGGGGAGTGCGGTGGGGTCCGAGGGGGCTCAGATGTAAACAGTCACGCCCCCCTCGGGGAACACTGAACAACATAACGTATGTAGTCCATCAACAGGCTGCTACCGTATCTGTTTGGGTGTAATCCGTCTGGACGATAGGCTTCGTAACGTTTCCAGAAAAGGGCAAAGTTATTCACAAAGACAAAGTTAAAAGAGCTGCATGTAGCCTGGATCCACATATGCAGCGCCACAACACGACTGTAGAGGCAGTCACCTCTGTTTACAGTCGGGATTGGACCAGAATAAAAACAGATAATCCCGTGGATTGAAGGAGGTGGAACAGATCCATAAAATGTTTCTTAGTGACTTCTGACTGCTGAAGTTTCATGTCGTTAATTCCCACATGCACGACTACCTTGGAAACGGTATCAGGCAGGGACTGAAGCAGAGGAGGGAGACGGATGAGCAGGTCTGGTACAGTAGCTCCGGGAATACAGCGAGTGACCGCGTTAAAGAAGCGGACGTGTCTCACGATGGAATCTCCAATAATCAGAGTGGTCGGGGCGAAGAGTGGACGTGGACGCGGCCTCGGAGAAGGAGCTCGGTGGACGGAACCAGCGGGTTTACCCGAAGCAGGACCCGAGCCTGAGCGCCGCTGAACAAATGGAGAGGAGGAGCGGGGGTGCTGACTCTCAGCTACAGGCGACCCACGCTGTGTGCTCGGGGACGCTGGAGCGGTGAGAGGGGCTGGCTCTGGGCGCTGCTGCTGACCCGGTGGAGGTGAGCGATGGTAATGATGGCTCGCTACCCCAGTCTGAGGCTGCTGCACTGGGGTCAAAGAAGGGGAACAGGCCAACATGGCTGGTGGACCGCTCTTTCGCCTGAGGACTGCTTCCTTTAGGAGCGTTTTCCTCGCAGTGGACTTGGATCCTCGAGCAGTAGAGTACGCTGCAGTGTCCAGGGATTCTGCTGAGGGGGCCGGGATGTCAGTGGAGAGGGCTGCATAGCGGTTTGCTAGACTAAGGACATGGGCCACGGCGCAGGATGGCTCCTCGGAATCCGCGGGCTCGTTGTTCGGAACCGGGCGCTTAGGTGTAGAACAGGAGGGTCCGGAGCTGACGGATCTCTCCCACACGACAGTGTCACAATATGCAGCACTCAGTGACATAAGCCGTGAATGCTGCCCACCAGCGACTTCAAAAAGTTTGGACACTAGAGATTGTTTCTCATTCAACTCTGCGGTGAGACGAAGGACTTCTTTTCGTAGTTCTGCAATGGTGGCACGGTCGCTCTCACGGAGCTCCAAGGTGAGGCGACTAATATTGTGCATGTTTGAGCCAATTTCATTGTCACTTTCCATGTCCTCGTTAGCTTGTGTTAGCCTCTGTGCTACTAGTGGGTTTCAGTCGGGACTAAGCGCTATTTGCTGAAACCACTGAATTAATAACATAAAACACTCAGATATATTAAAAAACTGAACAATAAAAACGCGCTAAAAAGTTGTTAAAAGTTTACTAAAAAGGTGCACAGAGCAGCCCTGCAGTACTGCTTACCGGAAGTCACACTCATATATCCTATGATCCTAAAATCATATGAGGCTTGCATTCTGTACTCTCATACAGTACATAGATCTGCTCAGCCATTCAAGAGGGAAGCCATGAGGCAATCCCCACAGCACATTTACAATGCAAAATATGGCAGGGTGCAATACAGTATGACAAAGAGGTTCAGTACATGAGCGCCTGGGCAGTCATGCAAGAGCTTTAGGTCATTGCCTTCTGCATAAACCAAACAAGGTTAAGAATGCAAATGTGATAGCTTATAAAGGCATCAGGCTTATCAAAATATGATGCTTATACAAGTGTTGAGGTGTGGCTTTAGATATAATTATAAAAGCATGTGGTGTGTCATAACAAATACTGAAAAAGTAGCTAGATAAAGACTGCATTGTAGACTTTGAAATGTGTGAACATATTAAAGAAAACATGTAGGTATTTGGTAAATGGTTTTATTAGCAAAATAAGGGAGATGAGTTTACAAATCGTCTCCATCTGTGGAGAACATACACATACACAGACAGTTGTGGCAGTTTCTTTACATGAGTAATACCATGGCCGGATAGTCAAGATTATAGCCTTTAGCTTCTACCTCCTTCACCTCCAGACTTGTATCCTCGGCGAGACTATCAAGATCCAGGCCATGTTTCTGGATCATCTTGGCAAACTAGACTGATCGATCAATCACAGAACAATCCTCTCTCCATCACTACTGACAATGCAGGAATTTTCAGACAAGAATGTTAAAGTAATTTCTTTTGTCTGCAGACTCACATTTACAATGCTTCGTGAGAATTCTCAGTAATTCTTCTAAAAATAAACTAAAATATACAATAGAATGTGCAACTTGGATCATTTAAGATTCTTGTGAGAGTTGGTACCATTAAAACTCCATTGGCCCGAATAACAGAAGAATGGAAAAAATACATATTAAAAAAAAAAATCCAAACCCAGAAGTTAAGGGCTAATTGTAACAACAGACCCCTCAGTACACGACTAGTGAGACCTTTTCATTGTCATGGCATGTCAAATGCGGATAGCGGCAGCTATAAGGGAAAACTCCCACCGCGCACTGGTGTGCATGGTAGAAGGACACAAACATATGGAAACAGGACAGTTTAGCAGGCAGAACAAGCAACAGGACGTGGTAAAGGCATGCCAAGGCACAAGTACCAACAAACTAGACAAACTACTTTTCTCCCTTCAACAAAGGGAGAGAAGATTATAGTCCACCATAAAATAAATCAGAAACTAAAGGAAAGCTTTACCATGAAATATGAGGAGGACAAATAATGTGTTGAAATCTGCAGACGCTTTTTTATATTGAAATAAAATTCCCACAGACTAAGAAATGTTTGTTCAAAATGTCCCAAGACAAAAAAGAGCATAAATAAAGCTGTTAAAAGTGGCATTATAGTACAGCACTGGTCCATGAGTGATCCTCTGAGCTCCTCTGATCTGCTCCACTCGGACGCCTTTGCCTGAGGACTGAGAGAAGATGGAACAGATGAGAAAAATACATTTGCATCACTTTTTTAAGTGTTTAACCTCACTGCCTTTGAACAATAGCTAGTTTGGAAAGTAATATCATTCATTCATTCATTCATTTTTTACCCCTTTATCAGTCCATTTATGGGTCGGGGGGCTCGGTCCCTCGCTGATCCTCTGCAGGTGGTGACACAGCCTTCGTGTTTCAGCGGGAGCATCAGGCAATGTGGGGTCAAGTGTCTTGCCCAAGGACACTAAGACAGCAGACTTTAGTGGGAGCAGTTGGAGTAGGTCCCATGATGGGCTCGAACCCAGGACCTTCCGGCCCAAAGGCCAACTAACTGAGCTACTATCGCCCCATATCATCAATATTATGACATATTGACATACATTTCCAGCATTTCGGTTGAATGTCGTGTTGCAGAAACATCTTGTGTTGTATGCTTTACTTTTATGGATTCCAATTTTTCCCACTGATGACTGCTGTCGTTGTGTCCTTGGGCAAGACACTTCACCCCGCTTTGCCTGAAGCCCCCCGCAGAAAGATCAAGGCTTCTGAGGACTCACCACCTGCAGGAGGATCAGTGAGCTCTGTGTACTGGGTGTAGCTCTGACGGTCACCCCCCTGACACAGAAATGGATTAAGGGGAAGAAAACGGATGGATGGATGGATTCCACTTCTTAGTGAACTGAAACCAAACACCCAGCACCACTGCAAGTACCTTTTTATAAATAGGGATGGGAGAACATAATAGGATTCATTAGCAAGAGCCACTCCACTACAAATAGGTGCAATAAAATGTTGATTGAATACAATGAGGCTTCTGGAAGTTTGAGGTGTGGCCCTTCGCACAAACGTTGCTTAACATTATTAACTACACATACTGTAGCAGCTGTGGGACATATGGGCTCCCTCCCATATATACTCCCTTGCAGAGTGAATAAGAGAGTCAATGGCACACTACTGAGCATGAATGCATTTTGTTTGCAGAAAATATCCTTTACATCCTTTGCTTTTGGCGGAATTTTGTGTGCTTGTTTTTCTGTGCTTGCCTCTCATGTGTATACTCAACATCATATAACCTCTAGTATAACATGACAGTTACCTTAATTAAAGTCAGAATAAAACTTTTGTGGCTTGTGTGCACGTGGTGATTAGTTCAGAAGACTACCGCAACCTTTCCAAAGCCCTCAGAGCTGCTCTTGTCCCTCAACGCCTTTGCTGTTGTATTTAACAGTGTATGCACGGCTTTTGACAGCTGCAGCAGCGCTCATACCTACAATGAACAGGCTTGATATCTCTGTGATAGCACTTCAGCAGTTGTGAGTTCAGGAGATTAAAAAAAGTGTTTAAAGTGTGTGGTGCCAGAGTTTAGTTTTCTATTATTGCAGGTTATTTTTAGAATGTAAACCCCCGATAAACAAGGGACCACTGTACATTCAGCCTGCAGCAAGAGGAAGTGACTGAGTGGGTTTCCTCCGGGCGCTCCGGCTTCCCCCTTCTAGCTAAAACGTACCCTATGTCTTCCAGCCAGAGATTATACTTCATCCAATTGAATATTTACCCATGAGAGTTTTTTGCAGTCTTCGTTCTCAGAAGAGGCCACAGTCTTTTAGGTTGTTCTTGATAATGACGTCGGTGACAGCATCAAACACAAATTGCACATTCTTGGTGTCTGTGGCGCATGTGAAATGGGTATAAATCTCCTTAGTGTCTTTTCTCTTGTTCAAATCTTCAAACTGACACTGGATGTATGCGGCTGCTTCCTCGTACGTATTAGAGCCTACATGAAACAACAAAAGGAGAAACTGTTAGTAGATGATGTGGGATTTTATTTAAGAAAAGGACAAACCGTGAGAACCTGTTTAATGACATTACTATGTGCATTCCTCAACTGTCCTGGTGGTGGCTTGCTTTTTGTGATTGACATGTTATTGCTTTGAGATCTTGCTCAGTATGATTTTACAACGCTCAATTACAGATAATTTGAATGCTTTAAAATTGTTTTTTCCCTAACAGAAGTATTGAGGGGACGTGAGAAGACTTGCTTCTCTATAGATTTAACTTGAAACTTAATCAACTGAAGCCACGTGTTTTTTTCAAATGTTAAAGGAAAGTGTAATGAAAAACTGTATAGATCCAGATGTAGATATAGATATAAATCCACCCTCAAAACTCATCTGTTTAGAAAAGCCTACTCACTAACATAACCACACTCTCCTTTGTCCATGATGCTTTTAACTTTGTATTTTAACTGCTTTTAAAATGCACTTTTTTTACTTGTATATAAGGCGACCTTGAGTGTCAAGAAAGGCGCCTAAGTAATAAAATGTATTATTATTATTATTAGATAGTAATAATACTATTACAAAGCAAAACAACAACAATTTAGATGAACCCATGCAAATAGAGTTGAGGAATGCACCTTTACACAAAGAAAAAAACACAACTAATTAGGCCCATACAATTTCACTTTATTTTATTATCTTAGTATTTTATTTAATTGTATTATCGATTATCTTCAATAATAGATCCAGCTTGATGTGTGCAATATAAGTGCTCTTTTTTCCTCCTTTTAAAAAAATGTCTGCTGTAATGTGCGCAATATAGGTCTATCTTATTGACCAATCAATGCCTTCATTTGCGAGGGAAACTCTAGCTTGCCTCAGCATCTGCTCGTTTTACAGCACAAAGCTAAAACCGTTGGAACAAAGGCCCATTTGAAGAAATTTACCTCCAAATGTGTTTATTTTTTATTTATTTATTAAAGGGACAGTGCATATTAATATATATTATACATGTAAATATGCCAGAATTAGTCTAAGGGCTATTTTCCATCTGTAGTCCCTGGACAGTTGTTATGTGTCCTCCTAAAGGGAATAAAATTACAAATAACACAATCAGATAAAACATAACACAATAAATCATATACACTCAGCTTCTTCCGCATCCAACAAATGAAGGTGATGTCAGCACTCGGTCTGTCCACTCCTAATATACAGTCTATAATCAGCCGGGGTTCTTACCGGCGTATTCAGGGTAGCAGATTGTGAGCGGACTTTTCTTAATCTTTTCTTCAAAAAGGTCCTTCTTGTTGAGGAACAGGATAATAGACGTGTCCGTGAACCACTTGTTGTTGCAGATACTGTCAAACAGCTTCATACTTTCATGCATTCGATTCTGCGGGACACAAAGGTGGGATTATGTGTACAAAAGCATGAAGAGCCAGTCTGGGTCACTGTTGATCTGTTAGCATTCACAATGGAAACTATGCCGGTCCCATTCTGGCCAAACAAACACAGTGTTGCTCCAGTGTTGTTCTGGTCAGTCACTCGTGTCTGAGTCAGTGATAAATTGCTCACCATCTCCTCGTCCTCTGCCAGCACCAGGTCATAGTCACTCAGGGCAACACAGAAGATGATGGCCGTTACTCCCTCGAAACAGTGAATCCATTTCTTCCTCTCTGACCTCTGACCGCCAACGTCAAACATTCTGCAGGCCGCAAGAAAATACATAAATATTTTTTTTCAAACCTCCTGTGTGTTACAATAAATGAATCTAGTCCTGGATCAAGGAGATTTTGAACATGTTTGATGTATGACACTAACGGACCAGAATTAGTTTCCCCTAAAGGTCCGAATCTATTTTCAGGTCTGGAAAAAACACTGACTCTTATCAGGAGCAAACAATCTAACTGAAACCCATCTGAATAAAACGCAGTGATTATACAATTTCAATAAACTGGAGGTGATAGTCCGAACACTCTTGTTTTACCCAAACCATGAGATTAGTGTGTGTGTGACGATGGGACATGACTTTGGTTGGTGGGACTGAAAAACCAGCCACATTCTGTTATATTTTAAAAAGAATCACATGTTTAATTAACTTCACATTTTGAATTAAATTATTCTTTGGTTTGGTTTTGGTAAACTAGAATATCGGTAATTGAGAAGATTGGTTACCAAGATGATTGGTAACCCAAACTAATTCCAAAATGTAAGGGCCAAGAACATGGAATTCTATATTTAATGTGTTTGATTGGATTGAATACCCTTTCTGTCAAAAATATGTCCTGTTGGGTTGAGTCGCGTTGAGTGAGAGTATTGAAAGTTATTGGAAGTTGCACTGGAGTCATAGGATGCAGTATTTAACATGAGCCAGGTGTAAAACTACTGAAGGTCTCACTTGAAGTGGAGGTCCTTGAAAGTGAAGTGTGTCTCAACGATTCCTGTGGTTTTTACTCGAGTCCTCAGCACGTCCTGCTGTGTGGGGATGTAGGTGGCCTGGGATACTCTGTCCAAGTCGTTCAAGTAGCTGAAGGACATCACAAAGCAAAAACAACTGTAGGCATGTAGAGCAAAAACAACTGTAGGCGTATAGAACTTTGGATCATTATGCTCAAATCTAATATGTCAAGAATATGCTCCGTGTGGCCCCAAGTCAGACCGCGACACGAGATGCCTCATTTTACCACCTAGTGGTTAGTGCCTCAGAGCTAAGACTGTAAGAAGCTCTGAGCACGTCTTGTTCAGAAGTTATAAATCTGAACCTGAAGAAGAGACTGCAGAAAGGAAAGCCCCTACATGTGAGAGCCGCCATCTGCTATTTTACACTGGACTTAACACACTCCGCTGCAGGCATCAACGCTCTGATACACAGCCCACTGTTACACCGCACTTTTGCATTTGGAGCCGTTTTGTCTCTGTGAGATCTTTGTTTGTTTGCTGGTTTGCTAAAGAGGTTATAAGGTAGGACTTTTATGCGACAAGGAACAAACTGTTAGATTCACAGATAATATCACCGCCTGGATCCATGAATTCTTTGAAGGAATGTGACTCTTTGAAGAGCTAGTTTACAAGTTTTCTTATTTCAAATTCAGTTTGTGTAATACACACTGGAATAAAAGTTTGAACCTCACAGTTCAGGATTTTTTTTTTGCTTTGAGTTGGCAAAGAACAGCAAAAAAGGGTTTCATTGTCAGAAATGAAATTAAAGTTTAGCCCTTTTTTTCTTAACCCTAGTACTTAACAAAAAGTCTTACACAATGTAACCGATCCGCTTCATCTTCTTTGTGTACACACAATGACATATACAAATAAACATACACTCAACATATTACAACTGTACATATCCACTATATATATATATATATATATGTAGGTACATATATTAAAACATAGCCAATGCACATGTGAACACATATATATCATTTATTTGTTAGTATTTATACTTTGTTTTTCTTAAACTATTAATGATGATATTGATAATACCATAGTTCATTGTTTATAAACAACCAACCATATCTTTCTATGATATTCCTGCACTCCACTTACTTAATTTCAATTCAAATTAATTTATTGTTGTATGGCCTTAAATCACAACAGTAGTTATCTCGGATGACTTTACAAAGCTGTCAATTTGCCGACACAGATCAGAGAATCAAACAGTTCAAAATGCAATGATAAAAAGACACATAGAACATACTGTATATGACCAATAGATGTAAATATATACTAATAGATGTCTATAAATATCATTGAATGTTGGATATCCTGGTCATCACTTCTCTCCTTAGACTCTCCTGCATTGGCAAAGGGAAAACAACACGTCCCCACTATGGCCTGAATAAAGGTTGTCTTATCTCGGAGGGCATTTTGAGGCTTCACCAGCAGCAACATTGAGTGTTGATGAAATCAGAATATAACATTGGAGGTTGCCATTCATGAAAGCTTTTAAGATTAAGATTAGATTAAAGAACCAGTTAGAAAATGGAAAACCACTGGTGGATCATTCTGATGTAACTGCGTTTTCACAAGGAAAACAAGACACATGGCTTTCTGCCCAGAAAGAGGCTGCCTAGTGAAGTCAACGGCATGTATGCCAGTGGTTATTGTACAAGACTATTAACAAAGCCTTCTGCATTTCCCAAACGTTTTTTAAACGTCTGTTTAAAAAACGTTCTTTTTTAAACAGATCTAACACTTACACAGCGATCGATAATTTAACCCTAGAAGTGCAAATATTGACAGGGTAAAAGTCCAACCTGAAACATTGGAGCACAGAGGTGCACTTGCATGGCTCTTACAGACCTCAACAGCAGGAAAGTTAGATTTGTTTTTCTCGACACCAGAGGGGCAATATTTTTCCAATCAAGCTGTGTGGGGCTCCATTGAGAACATGACGTAGGAGCTGGCGCAGAAGACTCACTCTCCCCATTGTTCTGTATTTATGAGTGACTCACTATGCTGCTGAGTCGTTGAGCTGATATTCGCGAGAGCGGCTGAAGCAGGCCTGGACCCCTCCGTCCTTCCACAGCCGCTTAATGACACCTGCCAGCTCTGCGGTCATGAAGCCCTCCTCTGCGGAGCCCGCCAGCACAAACAGCTGCCGCGCATCGTCCTACAAGAGAGAGAAGACCTTTTGTCAATATGATTACCAAACCATCAAAGTCATTACACATACTTATAGATTACATCCTCACAGCTGAATGAAAGCTTAGGGTCAGGACAAACATAACTTACAGAAAACAAAAGAAATAAACCCCAAATTCATCTGTCGGTTATAGAGAAATGTCTGGTGGAACCAGAATGGAGCTGGCTTACAACTACAACACTACTTAACACTACACACATAACTATTTTAGTGTTCTGCAGTAGGTTCACTTTCAAGCTGAAAGTGAACCTACTTTTTTATTTAAAACTAAATAAATAAATAACCCAACAAGAGCCTTGTAAAACCTTGTAAAACCACAAATATGTTGTCTGCCTTTTCATAATGCCATACTATGTCAATTATTATGAACTTAAGAATTAAATCACTGATTGTGACAAAATACCTATGATTCAGGATCTAAGTATTCTGAAACTGAAAACAATGGTCAATGATAAAATTCTTCTTATCAAGTCATTTATTAAGTTGGATGTGGAATTTTTATAATAGATTATATTCTTTCTAATAAACATGTTTCCGTACATTAGCCTATGTCTGGTATTTTTATTTTATTTTATCTTGTGCTGTGTGCTCCTCATCCCTACTGTTCTGTAACTTGTGGTGCAACACTGAAATTTCCCTTTATCTTAATCTTTCCCCCTTTGATGTTGTGGGTTTAATAAAATACTCGTCTTTTGAATTTGCCTGACTAAAGTTATGGCAGCCCTCGTGGTTTGCTTTGATCGTATTTGCCATCACTTACAGCTCTTCCAGGATCCCCAAAGTCGATCTTAAGGCGCCCCATGGCTCTGATGATGGCGATGATGGACTGGATGGTGTTGGAGTAAACGACAGCCTTGTACTGCTTGCACTCTTCTTCTGAGTAGCCGGCTTCATGGATGATTCTGAAAAAAAGGAAAAATACAAATTTCTTAAATGCACCTATCAATAGAACACATGATTAAATTATAGCGCCTGGCACACCTCACAATGAATATATCGATTATGTGCTATATCCTAACGGCCGCTAATGGACCAAGTATTGACAGATTGAGCTCATCTCTCGTCACAACCCATTTGTGCTTCATGTACACTTCCCAGCACCGTTTCCTCTGTGGAAAATTACTACTATGGAATAAATTCTATGCTCTCAGATACAATACTTAATACTTACTTCATCTGCTTAACTATTGTGCTTTTTCCAGATTCACCAGCACCTGCAAAACAAGAAAAAGACACAAATTGGTATCTAGTAAAAATGCTTGAAAAATACACATTTAGAGAACTCTATCTTAACCCCCACTCACTCTAGAGTGGGAATGCCAAAATCAGATTTACAAGCACTACAATATTCTAAAATAAATCAAAAATATGTTCGCCTTAGAATTAAACAGCTGTTAGCAAAGTGTGAGGCTGTGATTAATGCGATTTTGATTAGATGTTTAAAAAAAAGCGTTTGAGATTAGATGAATATATGATATGATAAGCTAAGAATTGAAGCCGTTTGAATTCGAGATGGCACAGGGCTTTCTGAGTGGAGTTTGCATGTTCCCTCCCTGTTTGGGTGTATGCTCGGGTTTCCCTCACCGCCCAAAAACATGCAGCATGGGTACAATATCCTCCAGCTCCAGTCCTGGCCAAGGTCCCAGGTGCTGCACTGAAAGGTTTCCCGAGGTTTCCCTACAGGGTCAATAAAGGACCTCAAACCTTACTTCTATAGGCCATGCATATATGAGTTGGCTCCGATGTTATGGGGTGCTAATCACTTTTGCACACACGCAAAGCCTTGATAAACCCCATAGAGCGCAGACCCCCCATGAGCCATAATTCTATTTCTTTAAAAAATCTGACATTCTAGACAGATCCCAGAGATTTTAAGATCATGTCAATACAATCCACCCATTTCTTTAGTGTTATGTTGCTAGCAAACTGTTTCAGATTATTCAATTTGACAAAGACATTTCTATTGAATTGAAAGACTTCAGCAATGAGTGAAAAGTAACCAGTGAGTGCTGAGGTCTAAACTACAACTGCAGAGTATACATTATGGATGTTTTGGTGACTATAGGGAATTATAGATAGATAGATACTTTATTGATCCCCCGTAGGAGATATTCAGGTGTCCAGCCGCAGAAGACTCATACAGGTTATGTTACTTTATAATCATAACCTGCTGCTTTGTTTATTAGTGACACTCCGGTTAAAAATTGCAATCCTAAGCCTACCTGCTTCTAAAGAACACATATTACATATTACACTAGCAAAATAGTCACGCACTGAAAAGACAAGTGTGAAATGGCGATGGAAATCTACTTGTCGTGGCGGCAAATCAGACTGTTGCTGTTGTTTTTGACCGATGAGGCAACACCGTGATGAACAGAGCAGAAGGAAAGGGAGATTCTGTGTCGTCAAAGTGTCTATGCCAATTTCAAACGTCACAACGCCATGGCAACTGCGCTCTTTTTATCAAGTCCAGTCACCTTTAAGTGTTTGATGTGATGTCTTTACACAGACCTGTTGTGCATATTCAATCTGCAGCTGTCTGTGCGGTGAATGAGTATCAAGATATCATTGGATACACCTACATGGCCATTAACAATATCATCTCATCAAACATACAGAGGGGAAAACGTCTCCGCCTCGGCTGTTTTACCGATTTGTCTCAATATATTAATTTGCTGGGTTATTATGACAATACCTACTCCGAAAATGACAGACATCTCTCATATTTGTAAGGGGGAGGACTTTGGACATTGCAATTGGAATTAGTTTCCGACCAAATACTTCTTTGCCTCACTGTATAATGTATAATGTATTTTTGATTAGCAGGTCTTACTGAATTTTTTTTAAGATTAAGATTAAGAGATCCTTTATTTGTCCCACAATGGGAGAAATTTCAGAAAAGAAGAAATATTAAAGATTTTATCATTTTCATTGTGGCCCTCATGACCTTGAGTATTGTTACTTTGGCTTTTAGTGTTTCAAAAAGCAATAAACACAACAACAAACAAAGCAATCCGACAGCGACACAGGGCCACCATAGCCAACCATGGGAGGCAGATTTATAATTTAAAACAAGTTCAAACATGGTTCTGTACAAGCAAAACATTGTCATCAACACACTTTGAGTGCAGAAAGCCCAGAACTCATTTGGGCATAATTGATTTGCTTAAAATGGAAGAAACAACATTGTAACAATGCATAATAATGAACTGATGTTTGGTGAAGATTCAAACTGACTGTCGCGGCGAAATAGAAAACAGTCACTAAACAAGCTCTCATTGAATATTCAACATTTGTCTGTTGGTTTTGTAGGCGTTCCAAGAGTCTGAAAGCATGTATCTGACTCCATAATGAATCATACAGCATGCAAAGCTGTCGACGCAAATGAGAGCTTTTAGAAGTCCAAGAAAAAGCAATGGCGCCCCTGAATGTGAAGAGTATAGCCTACAAGGGAAGATCACAGCCAAACAAAAACACTCATGTCTGATCAACACCATTTGGCTTCACAGTAGACCCCTAACAAAATATGGCGTTGAATTCCAATAAAGCTCCTCACTCCGGCAGCATGCAGAGAGCTCTGCCATGGCACTTCAGCGCTGGTATAATTGGAAAAGATTCACCTGAGGACTCATTGTTTTAATTACTTGTCACTACTCTGGGGCTGGGAGCGGGTGAGAGGCGGGGCTCCTTGTGCTCCAGGGGCAAACAGAGCAGTGTGAAGCCATTAGAAGGCTGCATACAGACGGCCACGCAGCTGGACACAGGATCAGCCTAATACTTCACACAGCTATGCAGAGTTGAATATGGGACACTCACATTGCACTAGAGATACTGTAAATACTAGAGTTATAGTACTATACATACCTTCCATACATATCATGATACTGTGACCGTATACAGGGTGTGTATAGTTGAAACCTTACTGAATCTCAACCCATTAGATTTACAATATTAGGCTGGTACTTGTAATGCGCCAACATTACAATAATAAGTACCAGCAATTTACAAATCATCCATTGTTTGGATGTATCACTATTCATCAATTGATATTTTAAATGACCTTAATGTAACCAGGGGAGTCCCACTTATGTTTCAGAATCTCTTTTGTCAGGGGTGCCATGGCCCCAGGCAGGAGGTGGAGGTGTATGTGTGTCTGTATCAATGCACATATTCCCAAAAATCTATTGAATTAAAATATTACATAAAAAGTTTGTTTAGCCCTAAATCACAGCAGCCGTGCTCTGGAGGACTGTACTAAGTTGCAGATTAATGTCTGTGTCAATGTTCTAATATTATTACCAAGGGACATGAAGACTTGGCACACAGTGATGTTCATGAAAGGGCGTTCTATGTTGTGCTCTATCCTACAACACAGCAGTAGATTGTGCTGGGTTAATGTCATATTTAGTTACTGTCTTCCTGTGAGTACTGAAAATGCTAAAAAGCAGAACTTCTTCAAGCACAATGAGTATGAGGAGCTCAGACATGAGAGCTCGTGGCTGCAGCGTGTGGCGTTCTGGAGACAGAGCTTCTCGCTGCCTGCCATGACTCACATATGGAACCACAAGGCTGACCTCTGTGCCGTTATGCAGAGTCATGTTACACGCCCACGCCTTTGATACACCCACGCCTTTGATACACCCACTCCAAAAAGACCCAAAACTCAGCACCAGCTGTTTTCTGTTTCAAATGGTTTGGCCTATTTTAAGAAACTCCGGACTAGCCCTTTCAGAGGAAATTTTTCATAGAACTTCAATCTTCTATCTGCAAACCTAGACATCTCATTGTTGGACCTTTCCTTGGCGGGTTTCTCCAATAGTAGCAAGGCTATAATGTGGCTGACATTATGGCACCTTTCCAGTGCCATGTGAAATAAAACAATGAATGGTCAACAACAATGTCTAATTGTTTTTCTTTTCAAATGTAATACTGGTAAACGCAAAATGTTGTACCTTTATTTCAGGCGACTTGTTTCGATTCACTTATTTGAAAATGGGAGTGTTTGATTTAATAAAACACATGACTAAACATGAGCAAAATGCCAGAACAACATCTTGTGATTTTGGGGCAGAAAGGCCTACACAAATCCCTGTTGTGATTGTTTAATAATCATGAGATCAATGGGTTTTTAGTGGCTTGACAAGAAAGTGTTTTCTTTGTGGAATCTGAAGCTGTAACTACTTTGATCATCAAATACTAAACATTTATCCATGATATTTTAGCCCAAAGAAGGCCACAAATGAGTTTATGACCATAACAGACCAGAGTCACGAAGCGCTTTATAATTGTTGTGGGCAAAACCAAAGGGATTGATCATTATCTAACATGTGTAGGTGTTTTGATTAAAATACTTAATTCTACATATTTTCGTGTCATTCTGTGTCAGTAATTACAGCTCTGTCAGAGTTATGAAACATCTCACATAGATATTGGCCAACAGATATTTCAGCTGCTTTTCAGGCTCATTTTATAAAAAGATAAGGGGGAAAACGATCGAGATATTTTTGAGATAAGAGAACCTTTATTTATCCCAGGGGGGTAATCTCTGTGTAGCAGCACACAGTAGGGACAGTAAGGTACACACAAAATGCATATTTCTGTGGTTAGTGGGTACCCTTAACATTATGATGGTATTTTGACTAAAATACTTGAACGTGGATCTTCATTATTTTTGTTAGGTTTTTCCTGAACAAAAATAGTTAATTCTTTGCTTGAACAAGTGCAGAAAGAAGAGTTTTGTAGACTCATATAGATACAGTTGTTTGAAGAATCATTACTAATCACTACTAACATAGCAGCCGGGTGGGAAAGCTATACGAACTCCCTGTCAACAAGACTGGTTTAAGGGCTAACAAAGGCAGTTTTTGTTTCTTCATAGATTTCATCATTTCATTTCATTTACATCCCTTTATTTTCCATTTCTGGGTCAGGGGGGTGGCAATCAGAACTGCCACCCAATTCACACAGCACCAGTCCCTTGCTGATCTTCCTGCAAGTGGGGGGTCCACGGGAAGATGGCCGCTCCTTCAACACAGATGCAGCCTTGGTCTTTCAGCGGGGACTTCAGGCACATTGGGGTTAAGTGTCTTGCCCAGGGACACAATGACAGCAGACATCAGTGGGAGCAGTTGACACGGGTCGTGGTGGGATCGAACCGACGACCACGAGTTCTTCATAGATTCTTGTTGCATATTTCCTCAGGGACACAATATTTTTCATGTAAACATTTTCTGCAAGCCCATGTTTCTCATCAATAGGAACTCTTATAATCTGTTCTCCTTCTGAGCCGACCAACAACTAGCTGGGACCACACTATGTAATCAACAACCTCTAATGGAACTGTTTCACTAGGGCTTCTTTCCGGCCACATTAAACTCAAAGCAAGCTCGTAACAGCGTGTGCAGCTCACATCTCTTTCATATTTAATGCCTCAGTCATTATAGCCATGTTCTCGCTTTACCGTCGGCCTGTTGTCACTTCAGGCAGTCGTAACCCAAGAGCCTCACTGTGCGTTACCTGGCTACAGAGTGGGTCCCACACAAACGACAGGAAACAGAGCCATAACCTAAGTGTGCAGGGGGGGAAATAGATCTCAAAGACGGCATTGGCGCAAAACAGCTACTGCGTGAGGATTCCAGCCATTCACACAATGTAGAGTTCAAACATCACTCGAGGACTGGTGTCACAAAATACATATCTGCGCCAACAGCAGCATAGCAGAAACTTGACCTAACTTGCTCACTTATAATCAGCAGGCACATTCTGGCCTCCAAGCACCTGAAGAATGCAGCCAGTCCTCGACATGAGCGCTGCTTGTTCAAACAAAGTGCCACCACCGAGACAAAAATGAAGTATATCAGAAGAACAGTTGAAAACACACAAGTTTTTTTGTTTTTAAGGTGAACTGTAGAATATTGAAACTGTAGGAGTAACCCTGTATTATTATTTTTTTCATTTTTTTCAATTTAATTCATTTTTGCATATCCCTAATTCACAACAGTAGTTATCTCGGAGAACCGTCAAATTAGCTAATACAGATCAGAGAATCAAACGCAAGAAATTCAATGACAAAAAGACATAGAGCCATTGGTCCACTTTCAAATGTTCTAAATAATGCATTGTTTAACCAAGCCCCGGCGATCCAAGATGGCGCCCTATTCAAATGAATGGTTGTGCTCAGTGGCGCTTTGTGACGGCATGGGGGCTGAAAGATTAGCGGAAGTTGCCTGAAACTCGCAAAGATCTATGGGAAACTCGCCTGTATTTGGGCATCGTCTGGTCCTCCCGGTTCTGCGCAGTGGATGATCTCCCATAATGCGTTGCGCCAAACACGCGTGTGTGGGTCTCACACCAGGTCTCACGCACGTGCACAGAGGGGCTCGGCCGCGCTCTGACCAATCAGAGCAGTTCATCAGAGCGGGAGTTAGAGCGAGAGCCAGAGGAGCAGAGTTTGTGCCACTAAAGTGTGGATTTAAACAAAACCGAAGGATTTAAGAAGAAAAAAAGTTCAGGATGACAAGGGACACTAAAATCCCCACAAAATCCGATCTTTATTAAAGCTGTAGGTTCTCTGTCAGCTGAGGTCGAGCTGTTTTAATATGCATTGAGTTCTATGGGGAAAATTTCTGGGTAGCCCACGTGAATTTAGTCTGGTTCAGTCTGCAGTACCGCGAGAATCCCCTGAGCACATGAGTTATTCAGCTACAAGCTAGTAACACCCTATCCAGTTAATATAATACATCCATGTGTTTAACTCACTCATATTGCAGAATTATTTTATTTATGACAAATTTGAATATTTTCTTTACCATCCGTGTATCTTGCAGAACGCATTTTGCATTTCAGAATTGAAAATATGTGTCCTGATCTTCACCCCCATGGCATGTGAGTACATGTCAACACAACCAAAGGCAGCCTATTCTGACTGGTGGAAAGTTTTTGCACCTATGGTCTCTATTTACAATCACAACAGAGCGTCCCCACATAAGTAATGTCTCTTATTTACACACGACCAGGCTTCCACAAGCAAACGTTTATTGTTGTGCACACAGGGCCACAACAGACGGAAGACACAACAACACAACGGGGGGGATAAAATGTGTCTATTCCTTTGATCTCCTAGTAAGTCATTCACAAAATGGTTCTGAAATTTCAATACACACAATAATTTATCTTCAAATCAAATGAAATGTGACAGGTTTTTCTCAAGAAAACTATGGATGTTATAGGCCTTAGCCATCCGTACACTCCGGTCAATCATAATTTACTGCATGTAACTCCCGGGTCTGGTGTGTTAGCGATTACAATCGGTTGAATTCCATCCGACCAATCAGCGAGCGTGGGAGGCGGGTGTTGTAGTTGGTTGTGGGTGACGTCAAGAATTTGTGCCGAACAGGCAGGTTGTAGTTTGTCAATGGTGAAGAATGCGATAGTAAAGTAATCCGGTCTGGTTCTTTCAAGAAATTTAAGCCGGAGCAAGAGGAATGTTTAGCAAATGTAATTGCTGGCAAAGATTGTGGCGCTACTCCCCATGGGCTCCGTTAGCGGCAAAGGAGATGGCTAAAGCTGGGCTAAATGCTAACGACTCACTTGGACGCATTACAAACGTCACGTTAAACTCAGATCCAATCGTTTCAATCTGCAAAAGGAGTTAACTCCTCCCATCTGTTAACGGAGCTCAACGAAGCACCTTCAGACCTTAGTACGAAATGTAATTTGTACTATGGTATGGTACAACCAGGCTAGTAAAATTAGGTATATTTGAAAGTTGTGCATTTGACCCATTTCTTCATCAGGCCTCAGTCAGGAGCAGTGATCACTATAGAGCAGCACCCATCAGGAGGCCATCTCCAGTTGTTGATGCTCGACAAATGTGACTACATTTGGTGGTGGGGGAAGAAACCGGAGCGCTCAGAGGAAACCCACTCAGACATGGAATAAACAAACACAGAAATGCCTGGGTGGTGAATGGTGACGGCATGACTCAATCCTTTTGCTGCTGTGGTACTGGGTCTACTTTAAGATAGATTTTAATTTCATTCCATAAAACTAAACTACCGTCCTATTTCAGTCTGGATTCAGTCATATTTTAGCCTTATATGTGGAGGTCACAGCAGATATATTCTTTGATCTCAGTATGAGCTTCTCCCATCTGGTCGCCGCTATGAGAACTCATTCCTACCCATATCTGTGGATCTTGGTGATGGTTTATGCCTGTGTTACTGTATCACTGTATTATTATGTTGTGAGCCTGTTTTATATGTATTTCCACTGTAGCAGCCTGTGAGTCCAAAAACAATTTCTTTCAGCACATAGTAATCTTGCATCTTGATATGTTGATACCGAGCGTGCAAATTGAGACCGACTGTGTTTGTCTAAAATATTCACAAAAGTAGCAGAGATTAGCCTGCTGTGATCTCAAGTTTTCATCCACTTTCACTGGGGCCCCTAATGAGCCATGGCCCTACTTTCACTGCATTGCCTCTACTGCATTTCACTGCTGAGAGGAAATGTGCCGTTGTTAATAGGATTTCGTGGATGTGGTTTACTTAGGAAGGCTAAAGGCTCATGAACAAGACATAATGATAATAATGTATACAATAAGGATACGAATTTCAAACATACCATGAGTTATAATAGTAATATGCTACAGTATTATTGTTTACGGTTTTATTTTATTTGTTTTATTTCTGTACTTTTAATGTTGTTTATGTATGTACCTGTCTTGTGCACACTGGGGACTTTCAAAAATGTATTCCAATGTGGTTTTACTGCAAATGGCAAATAAATGAATCTGATAAATCAATAATTCCAATGGAGCAAGCACAAGTAGTGTCAAGCCCTACCCTATCTGTTCACACGTTCTAAAAAAAAAAAAAAAAAAAAACACATATTGTGGAGTGGAGTTTTTCGTTCTTCTTCCCATTTGATCTTGCCTGGCACTGACAACCACACAAATGCATATGTCAGAATGTAAAAGAAGTTCACTATCACAGATACAGTGACAGAATACAGAATAGTTAAGCACACGCACAAACAAGTCAAGCCAGGCCAAAGAGACGGCGCTCCCATGCATGCATTTGTGTGTGTGTCTGTGTGTGTCTGTGTGTGTGTGTGTGTGTGTGTGTGTGTGTGTCTATATTGACAGCTCGGGCCCGTGTGTCAAAGTGCTCCTCACCCAGCAGCAGCAGCTTCACCTCCCGGGCCGCTTTCTCTCCGTCGTCGCGCAAATTTTTGTCGATCATCTTGCTGCGCTCCACCGCCGCCTTGTCCTCCGTGCTCAGCGTGCATCCCATCTCTCACCGCGTCCTCTACAGACCCAGACGCTGGATCTACAGTGGCATATATTTGTGAACGCGCACGGGGTGTCTGCATGAAATGGTTAAAAACTCCTCACAGACACACACACACACACACGCCCTTTTCCCAAACGCTATCAATGCTTGGTAAAATAAGCAAGCCTGGTTTTTCTCTTCTTCTTAAAAGGTAGGGTTGCTTGCACGCGGTTGGATGTGTCTCAGTCTTGCATGCAAATCCAACTACTCCAAGAGCCAAACAAATGCTTGGTTGAAGCGCTCCCAGCCGCTCGCCTTCTCCATACGCTGCAGTGGTCTGGTGGAGTGCGCCTGTGCTCCTCTCTAGTGCCCAGCGCAGACTCACCGGCTGCACGTCCGCTATGGATTTCACAGTAAGAGCCACATACATAAACTTCTGTGTACTGGGACCGGGGATGGCTGTTGTGACGTCTTGAATGCATTCCTGTTGCGCAACTTGACTTAACTATTTATTTAGATTCATTTATTGGCCATTTGCAGTAAAACCACATTGGAAGTTATGGAAGTAGCATATTATCATCTAAAGCAAATGAGAAGGAGAGTATGAAAATAACCCCACATCATTGGTAAAGCAGCACTCAGACACACATAATCTCTTAACACCCATTAAGTTTAAGAAAAAAACATTCTTTATTCATCCCACAGTGAGGACGTGTCAGTGTTGCATCACAAGTTACAGAGCAGTGGGAACGAGGAGCACGTGAAAAGCACAGCTCAATATTTAAGATAAATAACACAAACCCTCTATTTTTCCCAGAATGATTGACAATTTGAGGACCAATAGTCTTGATGATCCACCCGGAAGTAGAAAATCCTCCCATATTTATACCTTTAATAAAGAAATAACTATAAAACAAGGAAACACAAAAGTTATATCATGCATACATCTGTAGATAAATCTGTGAAAATCTCTTGTGTGAGAATATTGAAGTCATTAGCTCTGTGGGTGCAAATATTCATTGTGACAATACTGTATATGTTAGCTGCATAAGTTCTGGGTGAAACGTGACAAAAAGTCAATTGACAGTGGACACACGTGTTTCCATATTGCACATTATTTATTTATTGCTCATTTGGTCCTTGGGCTATCTTACATCCGCTGTCCCACAGTTGCTTTCACAAACACATGCGCACACACTCATTGATCCATGCAAACTCCACACAGAAAGACCTGGCGGTGGAGTCGAATCCAGGACCTTCTTGCTGTGAAGCACAAGCGCTAACTGCTGCGCCACCATGCTGTTATTGCACAGATACACATCAGGTCAGGTCAGCCCTATTACATAACTTATCAACGTAAAGCTTTTGTCACCTATAGATATTTACAGTCTAGGTCAGTCGACAGCCAAGCACATTACGCAAATGTAAGTTGAAATTATTGAAAAAAAACGTGGAATGATCAAGGTTCACTCTACACTATATTACACCATATACAATATATGACATTTTTATGTGAATTAAAATGAATAACCCACCTCCGGTAGGCAAGGGAAATGTATTGTAATGCACAATTCACACACACGGCATCCCAAAGTGCTTTACAAGTTTAACCTGCAGCCTGCAGCTGTCTTCCTATAGGCAAGTATTGTGGTTTGGTATTCAAATGGTTGCTCCTGTGTTTTCCTCCCTGTATCCTCTTGGTATTTTCATGTGGTGGATACAGGGCTAGACTGGGACAAAAAAACGGCCCGGGCATTTTTTCCTTTTTAGCGGCCCAGGCAACTCAAAAGGTTCAAGGAGCCATATTTGACAACAACAACAAAAAACAGCGTTGTATAAGGCTTATATGAAGGTAACAGGGGCTGAAGCTGTATTAGCTACATTAGCTACATTAGCTACCTTAGCTACATTAGCTATATTAGCTATATTAGACTAATATCTAAATGACAAAGTAAAGGCTAAACACATAAAAACCATTCATGATTATCAAATGTGTATTTTCATTGCAGCGTGTCCTGGAGAGAATGACACACCACGTGACAACTCTGCTTTAACTTTAACTTCCATTTTTTTGCCTTCATGCAATTGTACAAATACAGTAAATAAATCTGCTTTTTGGCTCCGAGTTCACCTGCATCACTGTCTGATCATATCCATCACGTCACAGGCTGAAGTTTGCTGGAGCTGAATGTCCTTAATGGCCTTTTCTTTCACCGTCTTATTACTTATACAAGTTTTTGCAGCATTGAAAAGCGTTAATGTTTTTCCTCCTACAGAAACCACATTGAAACTAGAAATAAAATATAGCCCTCACACTCCATTTTCAGACATTTTTGAAAAGGCTCCAGAAGCCACTTTAGGGGCACTAAAGGTTGCCGACCCCTGGTTTATACAGTATGTGGAAGCAAATACTGTAGAGGATCAGGATGTCTGCAGTTTCAACAATAAAATACAGTACAATAGTCTACATTAAACAGAGTAATAAACATGTCTCAGAGTGAGGGAGGTGGGCACAGACAATACTGTTGTTTGTTACAGGGATGAGAATTGGTAAACATTTCTGAAATGCATATTGTCAGCCATTTGCTGGCTCTAAATCTGTTGAATCTGTTCACAACATTTTACTTTTGGGCTCAAACATGAACTTTTAATGCAATGGAAAATGTAGGTACCCGAGCTTTAATTTAGAGGAGAGGGGAGACGCGGACTGTTTCCTGCAGCGGTGTATTTATTGGGTGCACAAATTACGCAAAGACACGCATGGTCCTGTGCGCGTTTATGGTCTTGGGTACATGGTCACGTTGCAGCTACTGTACGCGCTCACCGTGTTGTGTTGTGAGCGGTTCCTGCGTCCAGCTCAGAGGAGCTGGATGCGGGAACACTGCGGCCGCTGAGGTGGTGGAATCCCGTTCGAGTACATACAGCAGGTGCCCCGCGGACACGCGCGCTCCCCTCACACAGTTCTCAACGGATTTACACTTTTCACAAACATGTTTTTTGTATGAGGCAAACAGACCGGCCCAAATAGGGGCATCGGCCCTTCGGGCATTGCCCGGTACGCCCGATGGCCAGTCCAGCCCTGGGTGGATACATGCAAATGTTGTTCCTAATAGCGCCGCCGTTGCTCTTATTTACTCTTCTGAAGTCTGTTGAACCGAACCGAAACCATGGTGACTTTGATTATATTCTAGGAAGTTAAGTTTCCCCATTTCTTCGTCTTTTGTGGGGTGAATTTTACAGACCATGGACATTTATGTATGTTTGGCTGGAGACATGCACATTAACGTAACATACATTCCATTGTAGAATTCCAGAACGGAGGGATATAAAACATATACACTGGGTAATTACTGGGGATCCCAGGCAAGTTTATCTGGCCCTCCACTAAACTGAAATTTGATCTATAAATTAGCGTATAGTCTATCCAACGAGAGAAGGAGGCCACCCAGTGGTAGGACAGTGCTACAACAAATATTTACCTGCTTAAGACAGCATCATTAAACGCGCACAGTGTATGTATAAAGTTGATAACACCTCAGCTCAATTCATATTTATTACAATTTGAACTCATAACACCTAACTTTGAAATACAAAAAATTCACTGCAATCAATAATATCTTACATTCTGATCAAGATAATTTATATGCACATGAGCTATGACCTTTTACCACACACAGATAAGTCGTTCCTACAATAAAGTAAAGAGCAAAGTAAATAAGCCTTGAGCTTTTTTTTTTGGAAAACAGACTTCATTTTAGTTACATCCTATAGAAAAAAAAGATAACCCTTTTGCTAAGTATATTCCATTCCATGCAATAAATCCATTGTCTTTGGATGTGTAGCAGGACTGAAAATTGAAATGATAATGACATGGTTGTTATCAGATAGATAATTACAATCGAAGTCTGGGAGCTGAACTTCAGACTTCAGACAGTCAGTTATGCGCCTGTGTGCTGTGTTGGCCTTGTTCCTGTTCCTTCACCTGTGCTCAGCTGATCTCTCACTAGTGCTGTATCCTCGAGCCTCTGCCCCTGCTGCTGCTGCTGCTGCTGCTGCTGCTACTACAAGCGCCTAACACATACAGAGCAGCTCTCAGCAGCGACAGAAGGAGCCCAGTCTGTCAGAGCGGACGCACGGACACTGGAAGGACAGACGCGTTCGCACCACCATGGGATGCTGTAACGCGAGGTGCTGGTTGATCACCGGTGCTGTTTTTGGAGCGATTGTGGCCATCCTGGGAGGCTTGCTCATTCCACTGGGGAACATTGTCATTGAGGGGACAGTGAAGCAGGTATGCATGTTTATGATTGGTGTGTTGTTGTGGTCCATGCTGTGTCTCATATTGTGCAGAACGTGTGATCAAGGTGAACAAGGAGAGAAAACCGAGATAAACAGATCACACATAATATAGAGATAGACAGATTAACACCCATACATGTGCTTTGAGATTATCCTGACAAACAAACGCTCAGCAATACAATTATCTGCAGAGACAACAGAAGGAAATAATAGCATCTGGCAGGGACACATGGCAGGGGCAAAGAAACGTGCACACACCTTTCATGTGTGATGATGCTGGCCTGGCTGCTGATCTCAAGGCGTGATATAAATAGACTCTCTACTGGGTTTAGGAAGCTGTCATCGAGAACGGAACGACAGCCTATGACAACTGGGTGGCGACAGGGGCAGTGGTGTTCAGGCAGTTCTGGTTCTTCACTGTGCAAAACCCCACAGAGGTCATCGAGAATGGGTCGACTCCAGTGGTGATGGAGAGGGGACCATACACCTACAAGTAAGCCCGAGATACATGCAACAGTCTGAATCTGAATGTTTGAATTATGTTTGTGATCCCTGAGATTATAACTTGGCCAACATTAAAACATTTAGTTTAATTGTTTGTAAATGACTGGCTTGGTGTTCAGAGTTGGTAGGTGTTGACTCTACGGTCACTTCATGCATCGTATAATTAAAACTCTATTCAAATAGATACTTAGAATAGCAGAATAAAAACAAAGAGGATCAATTATACAGGAAAAACTGTCATAGTCCTGCTCAGACAAAACATAAACAACTTCTAATATGAGTAGTAAAACAAGAAGAAGACGGAGGTTGAAATATTGGATGCTTTGTGACAATATTTTGGCAATTTTCCCTGTAGATTCTACTTTATGCAACTTTGTGTATGGAAAACAAACGTGATTTGTCTCCTGCTCTGGGATCAATTGTTTTGTGGGTTTTCTGGTGCAGCGGTCTGTCAGTACAAACAATAAAACAATCGATCCTATAGTATCTTTTCCTTCTACTTTGGGCTTTTGGAAGTAAAAGCCCAAGCCCCTGCATTTAACATGTTGTAAATTTCTTTCTTTTGCACTATCTTGAGTGATTCTATCCATGCCAGATGTGACATGTACATTTCTCCTGTGTGAGATCAATAAAGTCTATCTTATCTTATCTTAATGCTGCCCTCTCAGACAGTCACTACAAGGTCAAACATAAAAACCAAAACGTTTTTCACAAACGAAGTTGCATATTGCCCCCTTAATGTAGAATTAAGAGACTATTTTAGTTAATTTACTTATAAAAGCAAAATATAAGAATTGATCATATGCCCTAATGTCCAGTCCTTTCTCAGACACGGGCAAAAAATATGGCAGAAAGTTTGTGTATTCAAGAAAATTAGACCAAAGAAGTTGAAATATTATTATATTTTTTCCGGTGCACATGAATGATGCCCAGCTCTGAAGAAACTGATTTTTGCTCATAATTTTTTCAGGACGAGATTCCTTCCTAAAGAAAATATCACATTCAACCCCAATCATACTGCATCCTTCTTGTTACCGCTGGTTGCCATCTTCGAGCCCTCCATGTCTGTTGGGCCAGAGGAAGAGGAAGTGGTCATTTTGAACTTGGCCGTTGTTGTAAGAAATGACAATTACCATCACCCCACTGCATGCTGCTGCTGAAGATATAAGTTACCTTGGCTCTAAGCCAAAAACAAGACAAACGCTTATGAAAGCCAAACACCAATATTTGCCCATGTTGATAAGGTTACCAGGCAGACTGACCGAGGTTACCAAATAAGTCTATAATTTTGTCATAAAAGAGAAACAAAGATAACATTGTAGATAATACATTTTGGTAAATGATTGGTTTGCATAATGAATTCCCATTGTGTAGTTAGCACATTTTAAGAGTTCTCACAGAAGTAAATCATGCAATGTTCTTGTATTTATTTGTATTATTGGTTAAAGTAGTAAGTTTCACCTTTTGTCTGTATGACATCAAACTACTCTAACTACTCAAACTACTCAAACTACTCAAAAATCTGAATTGTATTTGTATTGCAGGGAGCATTCTCACTTGTTCCTAAACCTTTGCATGGAATATTGGAGCGAATGATGAAGACCAGCAACTCGTCCCTGTTCCAACGGCGCTCAGTAAAAGAGCTGCTCTGGGGCTACAGAGACCCGCTGCTGAATGACAATGTGGCGTTGTTTGAAGTAAATATTATCATCCAGTAACATTTATGAGACATAGCTCCAGCAATAGTGTTCATGTTGTTGAAATGTACTTCAGTTGGAGGGCAGGTGCCAAAACAGCTCTATGGGAACAAGACATTTTTGAAAGAATTGTAGTAATATTATGCTATATAATGCTAAATGATTATTGTGTGTAAAAGTCCTTTCTACTGGCCAACATCATGAAATATTGTCACTACTTCTAGACACCCTTATGAGAAAAAATATGTGAACCTAGTTAATATGTACTTACAAAGATGTCGAACCTTTTACAGTTCTTGTTTCATATGGCATGGCCCAGAAATTAGATCTATATTAGGACTTTTGACTGTTACCATAGTTACCAGGATTTTTCAGCAGCCTGACATCATGTTGACATCATATGAACATATTTTCTGTTGCAGAATGGTACATTTGATGGTCCCTACAATGTGTTTACTGGCAAAGATGATATCTCAAAAGTGTCGATGATTGACAGATTCAGAGGGGAAAGGTGAGATTGGTCGATAAAGACTTTTCAAGAACGTCTCTTGGCACCATGCATCTATTATCACATGATTTTGTTCACAGTAAATTGGCTTTCTGGGGTGACGAATACTGTGACATGCTCAATGGGACAGGTATAAAACAAAGCATAATTTCTTCATTGTAACTCAGGTTTAATCTTGTTTCCCCTCAGATGCTTCTTCATTTGCACCTTTCCTCGACAAGAAGAAGCCACTCTATTTCTTCTCATCAGACATTTGCAGGTGAATAAAATATATACATATATAAACATTATCTGATAGTATTTTTAATATTTCACTCAATGTGTTAATAATCTATACAAAATATAGAAAATATAGAAAAAAAAAGACATTCCAGTCTGGGAGTACAGTATAACACATACAGTTGTGTAAGCAGAGCTGTATGTAAGATTCAAAGAGTGACCACTAGAGGGCAGAGCAGTACTCGTATAGTTAGAGGAAGCATTGGCTTGATGACAGCAGCTCACTCCAGGTTTTATCCCCACAGGTCAGTGTCTGCGAGCCATATGAAGACCTATTCACTGAAAGGCATCAAAGTGTACCGCTACTCCCTCCTAGCCTCCACGCTGGCCTCCCCCGTGGACAACCCCGACAACCACTGTTTCTGCAGGAACCCGGTGGTCACTAAGAACTGCACTTTGGCAGGTGTCCTGGATATCAGCTCCTGTCAAAAGGGTCGGTTTTAATTGAATATATGTGCTCATGGAGATGATAAAATACAGCATTTGACTTTGGGTTAGGAATAGTGTGCATATATTTCTACAAAGTTAAAGTGTTAAGTAACTAATTGTTTGAATATGTGTTTTTAAGTAGATAGATTGATACTTCATTGATCACTGTAGAAGAAATTCAAGTGTCCAGCAGCCAGAAATCACTTCCATATAAACACATATGTACATCAATCATCATCATCATCATCATCATCCTCATCATCAAACTTTTATTACAGACTCATGGTCCGGATTATGACAAACACATCACATAAAAACACAAAATAACACATAAAATCACTGCATTAAGCCTCACTCCTCAGAGCAAACAGCTGTACCAGTGTCTCCACTGATCTGACTGGTACCGCGTGGCACTGAATTTATGATTATGATTAAAATATTCTGGCTTTTATTGAGCCGACTGATGAAACTGTACATCGGACACCGAATGGCTGACTGAAATGCCCTGATTCCAGCTGACACAAACAAAGTACTTGCACTTTCCCATCTTGGCCTTTTCAGTAAAACCCTCAATCAGTTGTTGTATGCCACATTGAGTTTGCAAATGATAAACATTTTTAAACATTTCTAACTAACTAACAAACGAACAATAGTGCACATTTTAAAGTCAGACAGGTCTGTTGTACAGTCTGACAGCCGAAAGAATTAGGAACTAGTAGACTAATGAGTGTGTTTGGACATACAAAATAGACTGGCGACCCGGCTTCCAGCTCTGTGTGGAGTGAGAGACAAATGCCCACAATTGTAAACCGCTTCGTGACTCTGGTCTGTGAAAGGTGGTATATAGATAAAAAATACTTTCTTACTTATTTAATACATGTTTTAACTAGTAGAATAATTGTTGTGTTTGAATATATGTTTTTACCTTTAAAAGACAAGAGAATACAACTTAAAGCTGGGGCAAATAACTTAAGAAAAAACAACCATGGATAATACATTACTGAAATACTATATTGAAATACTATATTTAAAATGTTGTGAACAAACATGTACCCTTAATCATACTAAAAAAACATGAGATCTTTAGCATAATCAAGCATACAAGAAAAGCTGAGCCAAAGGTGTAAAATACAGGAATATATCAAAAATACACGTATACACTCGAAAACTATGGAACCAAACTGTTTTGAGATAGATTTTTATCACATCTAATTTAAACTATATCACCTTTAGACATAATTTGATGAACCAAGTTAGATAATCTTGGAAACGAGGATATTTGCTCCTCTCTGCATCACATTTAGACAGAGACACGTTGTAAATTGAGCTTGTATATATTGTATGGTATTGTATTTTCTCCTATATTCCTATCCTTTAAAAATAATAAATTAATTAACAAATTGACCTTGAGTCCAAAATAAAAATAACTAAAAATGGTCTGTATACAGGAAAACCGATCTACATTTCCCTGCCCCACTTCTTGTCTGGGAGCCCCTCATTGATAGAGGCTGTGCATGGCCTCCACCCCAACCCGGAGCACCATGAAACCTTCCTGGATGTCGAGCCGGTAAACCATACTTTGACGAGTGTAATAATAATATAAATAAAACCCCAACTTTTATCTTTTTTTCCCCAGACAACAGGGTTTACTTTGAACTTTGCCAAGAGAATACAAGTGAATATGATGTATGGTCCGTCCAATGTTATCACGTGAGTTTGTCCATCTATAAACTATTGAAACAAAACAATACTATTCTGTGTTAACTCCAAATTTCCCACGCAGGGTGCTTAAGAAAGTTAAGGATTATACAATGTTCCCGGTTGTCTGGCTCAATGAGGTATGTAACAAATAGGTGTCAAATGTGTGTTTCTGGAAATACTTTTTTTCCTGTATACAATTGAATGTTTTTCTTTTATATTTTGGATGAATAAATGTAGCTGTAGTGCAGAGTTTCAGCACAGTTATTGCACTTGCTGGACTATAAGACGCTACTTTTGTCAAGTTCTTTTAACTTTACAGCTTAGTGAGTGATGCGGCCAATGGCCCTCATTTATGAAACTTGCATACGGCCAAATCAGGGTCTAAATGAGGCGGACGCAATAAATGTACACTTTTGGGCCTTTATCAATCTGGACGTGGGCGTACGGTACGCACAGAATATACACCGAGTCTGGACGTGGTGTACATTTTACACCCATCGCAACCTTCATCACAACACGCCAAAACACACATGAAATTCAAGATTTGGACAACAATAAATATTTTCCCACTCTTGCAAAATGATAAGCTGCGCTTTCATTGAGCATCATATTTCAAAATTTGAATTTGCCTCATTCAGACGTTTTGGATTCAGAGTTCGTCTGTGAAATCACGGACACTTCCCAAAAGCTTCTCATATGTATACATTCTCTCTCAAAGAGATCGTTCAGACGCTTCAAGCGGTTAATGATGAGAGCCACCGCTGAGGCGGAGATACATATATTCATTAATTCATTCATTAATTCATTCACTCACTTCTAAAGTTCAAGAGAGATGAGTGCTGCAGTGGGTCTAGACACTAGACACTAGAAAAATGTGTATATATATATATATATATATATATATACATACACACATTTTTTTTCTAAAGGTCGACCTCAAGAGGATATATTTCATACATATAATGTAGCATATATTTCTTTTTAAACAAGCCTTTTTAGGCTTCCAAACAGTCTTCTGAATATTTATAGGCGTGACTTTCATTCAAACGCTAGTTTTCACTGCGGCATTTACTAACAGCCGCTTATGCGCACGCTCAGATCTGGGCGGATCTCACACATTCATAAATCCCGCGTTGGGTCTTGCGTATATGGAATCTACATCAAAAATATACTGTACACCCTTTTCTGCGCAAGTTTCATAAACGAGGGCCAATGTATGTATTTTTTAGAGTGTGTCTTTATGTGAACTGCAGAGAGAGACAAAGTGTTGTGCAATTAGCGCTATAGTCAAAACAGAGTTGGACTCGTCTATTTGACTCCAAAAGTTTCAGTAGCCGATAGACACAGGTTCATTGCCAAAATAGACTGAATTCTCTAGAGTGCTTTTATCATGAGTCAACAGTTTGATATGAACATTTACTGTGAGATCAGTTAGTAATGAAAACTTCTAGGGGGCCCTCAGATGGTTGCACTGTCCGAAATGCAGACATGGGCTGCATCCAAATTCAGAAAACCTACCACGTTCTAAATGCTTCTTAGGTTTGCTTCTTCTGTTCATTAACCAGTCACAACATGATTTTATGATGAGGTAGCTTTTTCAATGCCCTGTTGACTTGGGATGATCAAAGCACTCTGGTAATTCCATACTAATTTGACAATAACATTCCTACTAAAATTAGCTCAAGTCCATAAACTCTGTTCTGACAATAGCCTTAATCACACATAAACATATGTGATTAAGAGCTGTTTGCATAAACACAACAGGAAGCGGGAATGTGTGCTATAGCCTCAGCTCTGGAGATCAATAGCAGATAGAGCTGTGTCCAAAACCCTTCCTGTACTCTGACAGTGCTCTGACAAAATAAAAACATATACACCATTATTCAGGCCTTAAGGTTTCAAAGATCTTGATAAAAGAGGTGGCTTGCAGTCTGCATATGGTACGGTAAACCTATTTATGAAGGCTTAGGGATAGGGTTAGTCACATATTGATCCTAATTTTCACCTGACCAAACTAGGAACTTCTCTGCCCCTATAAAAATAACTATAGATGGGAAAAGTGAGGAGATATTCTTTATGAATCTGGCCATTGCCAGAGTCTGTGTTCTACATGTTCCTTAAAGTCAGAGAGCGAGCTATTGAGACGAGTTGTTGTCTTGGTTTCTTCCTCAGACAGCCACGTTGGATGATGCCACGGCTGACATGATCAAGACAGAGCTTGTGTCCAGGATCAATCTTCTGGCTATGGTGCAGCAGGCCTTACTGGGCACAGGGCTGGCCATCTTCATCATCTGCTTGATTTCATTCTGCTTTGTCAAACAGAACAATGGCCAAGTCAATTTTTTTTGAGAATACTTTGCCAGTGTGAACACCACTGGTGCATTGAGCTGCTACTGAACACCAAGCCTTTTGATAATGTACTTGCACTTTTTGTAACCTCAAAGTTATTTATAAGGCCAAATAATACTGTTAAGCTCAATCAGGGAAGTATTATAGCACATGGATGCCTATTAACTGTCAGGTAACCAACGCTTTAGGGACTTTTGCACAAAGATAATGTATTTGTGCAACATTCTGTGAAAGTAATATGACATTTAATTATTTTTATTTTTTTTCATTGCATATGAAGGGATTCAGTTTGGTGGGAAATAGAGAGAGCAAGAGACCACATGAAATTCAGTATTCAAATCTGGAGATCGAACAGAATCAAGCATTTACAGCTTACTGCCTGCAGTAGTGACTATAGAAGCTTACTCCCAGTACTTTCACAGTGTCTTTAAACCTGCCTTGCCTATATAGAAAACAGTGCATTTATAATTCAAACCCCCTTCCTTTTCTTTTCACAAAGTGAAAAAAGGTTATCAGGAGTCTGAGCCATTTTATGAAAAACACACTCTGCATTTCATACTTTTGTTGAGGCCGCTATTGCAGCAATGACAGCATAAGGTCTTCTTGGAAAGGCTGCTACAAGCTTGCTTTACCATGGCCAGTGAAAAATTCAATTCTAAATTGCATTATCTTCATATAACCGCACACGTGGATTCACAGGTTCTACTCTGTTTAAAGCATCACCATAGCAACAGGCAACATCTGAGTGCCACCTGTGATTAAGAGCAAGAATCATAGAAATGAATTAAGTACTTTAATAATGTGCCGTAGGCAAAAGCATCAAATGTGTCACTGCGCCTCTTTTCTTTTCTCTGTGTGTGTTCATTTTTGGCAAATAAAAGCTCAATCGATGTATTTCCGCATTATTTTTCTTAGCAATAAAGTACAAGGAAAACTCTGAAAATTATATTCTCACTAATTTATTTCTGTAAAACAACTTCAATGGTGAAACCAATATATCATACACTCATTACACGCAAGTGACATAAGCCAAGCCCAGACATGCAGTCCCCATCTATTTTCAAACTATTCCTCTTACTGTAGAGATGTTTTTACAAGCTGTGAGCCAATGATAACAAACAAAGGCTTGATATACCTAATTTTGCTTGTAACAAATCTGTCACATATCAGTTTCACATTGTATGTTGAAGTAAATGGATTTTTAAAAACTATTCCAAGTTTTTCAGTTTCACCCTTGGTTCCTTTCCCCAGACAGTGGATACAACTTGATCCCCCTCAGCTCAACAAACATGCAGTATGCTGAGCCTGTCTGGAGCTATTTCAGTTCCCTCTCACCTGAAGTGCGTCATAAATCAAAGCCACATTGGTAAAAGGCGACCAGGGTGTAGCTGTGATGGTGGAGTGTTTCTGCACAGCAGGGGGCCACACATGAGCTTTATGACTTTTTAATGAGCCTCGGCTCTTCATGCTTTTGGGTTACTTTTTACAATGGCTTCTGAATTTCCCTTTACACTTTAGACACAACATATTTTTAAAGTATATTTTTCATGTGCCATTGAATTAAGAGTTATTGAGAGATATTAAGCGTTTACTAATAATAATACTACAAAATATTTAAGAATACATTTTTCCACCTGCAGCGTCCAGCGTTTTTTCTTTCAAAATGTGAACATTACCGGCTGCAAGTAGTAGAGGCTAGCGAGAAGTAATTTATGGGCACTTTAGTGCTAAAATGCATGAAACTGCTCTGAGCGTGATGCCACAGCGGTAAATTGACATAGTACTATTACAGGACTCCGAGCTTTTAGACAGAAGTGGTGGAGTTACATGATTGTGCCAGAAACTCCTGACGTTAACATGGATGGATCCAAAAACCAAACTGCAGGCCTGTTTCTGTTGAAGAAGCAATGTTGTAACATGGTTAAAAGCTCAGTTTTTGTAAAGACGAGATATGGTTAGATCATGGTCCATGAAATGGGAAAGTTTATTATTAATAAATAATGAAATCATTGCACTAACTAACATGGAGGCCATTGCATGATGCAGATTATATAGAATGAAAAAGAGAAAACACAGAGCTCCGCCTTTGCAGAGACAGTCAGAGTTAGTGACACTATGTACAGAACAAAGAAACATTTGTACAAAACAAAACCAATTAAATTAAAACCACAACTGTACATGGCACTATCTACATTATGTAATAAGAAAGTCTGTTCACATCAGCCATGTTCATGACGTCTATGGAGTTACAGGACATGTGAGAAAGCAACATTGTCAATCCAATGTGAACAAATGACTTTCTGTTCTAGATAAAAGTAACACATACGATGTAAGAGTTCATTTCCTAACTAACAGAAAAAAGGCAGTGTAAAATGCAGCTGCTTTCCATTGAGGAACCCTTTGTTGTGAGAATGCCTCTATATTTATCTTGCATTTGAATGTGAGAGTGGTCGACCTTCACTTATAATTAGTAAAACATATCTCAGGAACCAATTTTTACATATTGAAAGATTCTTGGAGTTAGTTCAAAGAAACAACAATTTTTTATTCTAAAATATGCTTGTGGAGAGTCAAACATGCAGAAATCTACTCTTCTTTATTTACTGCCTTTTGGAGGTAGCAATGGAACCACTGCAGTGCTGTGGCACAACCTGTAACAGTGGATGTAATATTGTAGTTAGTGTCTAATCAAACTGTCCATTAACATTATTTGAATCATTCATTTACCGACAGCAAGGATCATAATTCAACGTCACTAACATCAACACATACTAGGAATTTGTGTTTCTATTGCAGTTTCCGCTAAATCAATCAATGTGTATAGAGTAAGCATCTCCTTTTCTTTGTTTTTTTACAATGTTGCATTTTTTTCTGTGAAATAACATTCACAGTTATCCGGTCAAAGTTCATGCATTTAACTTGCGTAACTATGCAACATTGCCAAACAGCACGTATTTGCATCGCAGTCCAATAAAAGTGTCTCAGTCTTCTGATAAGTCAAATCTTCGGTTGCGGCTCTTCCTCCGATCCAGTAGAGGCTTGAGTTTGGCCATGTCGCCCCTCAGTGGCCCGGGGTGTGGGGGCTGCTGCTTCTGCTGCAGCTGCTGCTGTTCTCTCCTCTCCTTACAGAACTGCTGCACTGCCATGCTCTCCGCTGGGCTGAAGGCTGACAGCAGCACCTTGGGGTGCAGAGAGCTGGTCCAGGCCCAGGGAGACTGCTGCTTGTCGGTCAGCAAACTCACCATGGCTTCACTGAGCACGCGGAGGCGGATCTTAGCCACGGTGCGTTTGAAGTTGTTCTCTGTGGTGAGGCAGTAATACAGGCCCTGGTCAGACAGCTGCACTGAGCGGATCAGGAGGCCATGCTCCGTGGACACCACACGCTCACTCAACTTCACCTGTGGATTAACACAAGATAATAACATGGACAAGACTGAAGCGTATAAGGTTTATGTAATCTACAACTGTGCATCACCCTGCAGCGAGGGAGTTTTCATATTTGTAAAACATTTTACAATAGGGAACTGAGTCATTAGTCAGGCTCTGCCTGAGTGTGTGAGCCTCATTATCATTACCCCAGGTGATCAAGAGTGTGAGCTCATTCACGAGCTCATTCTCTGTCACACTTACTCCAAGTGATATTCAAAAAAGTTTCAAAGAGCGACGCCCCTGTGGCAGTGATCACTGTGAATAGTTTTGTTACTTGTCAAGATCATGTGTACTCTACCTCAGCGTTTTTAAATGTGCAAAAGAGACAATCCACTTCACAGAGATAATACAAGAGGAACATATACAGTAGTTTGGATTTGGATTAGAGCCGAATACTTTACTTTGATAAAGGTCTCTTTCCAATTTTTATAACTCTGAAATTGATACAACCTAATTCATATATATATTTATATATAGTAGGGCTGGAACTCGGTAAAAAAAAAATCGAATTAATTAGAGGCTTTGTGATTAATTAATCGCAATTAATCGCATTTTAATCGCGTATAAATATTTGACCTGAGAACAGTGACAAGTATGCGTCAGCCGGCACAAGCTCCATTCATTTAAACGAGTGAGTTCAAAAATTCACAGCGAGTAAACTAGAGTGGTCCAAAAAATTCCGCCCCCACTGCTCACAACACAGGAGTCGCTCGCTGCTCCTTCTCTTCACAGACAGAGTCCCTGGCGCTCATTCCCGTCTCTAACTCACTCGGATTTAGACACAGCTAAAGTTGGTCTATGCTTGTAATAATGTACTTTTGAACAAAAACAGTCACGGAGCTCGAGTTGGTGCTCCAGTATAATCGGTCCGTCTGAAACTCATCCAGTAATGCACACAATTAAAATGTGTCAACAATTTTTACGCGCTTATTTTTTGTAGCGTTAATTAATCTTAATTAACGCCCTAATATATAAATATAGAATACATATATTCTGTATTTGTAGTGCAGAAGAATGGTGATTATAGCTCACCTCTTTCCTTCTGTCGTTGTCCCTCTGTATGAGCCAGCGGATGGAGGCCTGAGGAGACTTGGGGATGCACTCCAGAAAGGTGGTGTTGTTTTTCACACCGTACTGCATCATCTCTGCTGCATTTCTGTAGGCTGAGTTTAGAGAGACAGTCAGTATCAGACGTCATCTGCTGACAAACCATGGCAGATGGCCGCTTTATTCTGTCCCTAAATCCCCAGCAGCCTCTGCCTGAAATGTTGACACAAAGGCTTTGGTAAACACCTGCCCTGAATATGAAATTGCTTTGTTTTTACAGCCAGGCAAACAACTCATACTGAATTTTACAAAACCGTTTTCCACTGAAATCACCGTGTTGTTTTTGTTGTTGTTAAATGGCTTATCACTCAGTTGTGTGTGTGACAGAGATGTGACCAATTAGCGTTTATGGCCATATGCCTCATTCCCCAAAGCAGGTGTTAATTTACAGATGCAAAGTGCTCAGGGGACTGCAGGACTGGAGGGAATAAATCCACTCATCTCATTTTGATTCATGTTGATGGTTCATTTGGATAATGCAAGATAACTACACTGAGGTGACTGCGAGCTTTTCCCCCCAATTCTGTTGTAAGAAAGAACCTTGGTTCTCTTCTTTTCCGTTTTCTCTCTGAAAAATCTAGACTAAAGATGTGACAGAGACTGGTAATACATGTGGAAACCAGAGATAGAACTAAACTGTTTAGAGAACAAAGAACTAGTTACATGGATTTGCTGACTGTACATTTTTACCATAGACCCTGGAAAGGTTTATGGCATGATTATCAGTGAGCATAATTACTCTCAATTACACCTGATCGAGAGTCCATGTACAGTAAACTACACACACACACTCTCTCCCTCTCTCTCATACACACTCCCCACAGAGATGGGAGTGAGGCGGCTACAGGCGGCGCTTGCCAGACCTATTGTACATGCAAACTCCACTTCCAACCGGGATTCGAACCCAGGACCTTCATGCTGGGAAGCGAAAGTGCTATCCACTCAACCACCATGCCTAAACTACTATTGAGCCACAGCTGCCCTAGGACACACTGACAGAAGCGAGGCAACCATGTGCCAGGAGTACCTCCGATCACCACCAGCCATTCACACACAGACACACACACCAGAGTCATTTAAGACAATGCGGGTGAAGTGTCTTGCCTAACACTTTACAGCCGCAGCCACCCCACTGTGGCACCTTGTCCCCTGGTCTCCCATCACAGTACTAAACAGGCCCTGCCATGCTTAGTTTCAGAGGTCTGACAGGATCTGGCTTTCGCATGCAAGTATGGTCATCAATAGACACACCTTTCAGATTGAATCCTCGGCATTGAGTCAGTGGATTCCCGTGGATGATATCCTGTCTTCTGCTTCTCCTAAATTCATAACAGACATAAAAATAATTAAAACATGGGCCGCTTTAAATGAATGCAAGACTGTGTGCAGCAACCACCAAAGGCACAGTAAATCGTTCTTATAGTCAGCCATCATTGATTTTTTCTTTCTTGCACAAATATATGACATAATTCAGACATGTTTTGTAGAGGAAATGTATCTTTAGGGCATCTGAACTACACTCGGCGGATGTCTGACTGGTCACATAACGAGAGAGAAGACAAAAGAGGCCCAGCGAGTTCACAAGTGTACATATGTACTTTGTCACATAGACATTGATAGAGGCTGTTTGCGTTGTACCGTTTTAGACAAGCTATGAACATACATGTTAAAGCTGAGGTAATTCTATTGTAAGACAGATATGAGGCCGGTAATCCATGCAGTGATGAACCAAACTGTTTAGAGAGCAAGGAACTAGTTACATAGATTTGCTGACTCTTATTTTTTGTGGTTTCAAAGTTAGCTATCCTAGTGATCGATGTTCACAGAGAGCGCAATCAAGGTCTCTCATTTAGATTTCCAAGTCAAATAAGGTGACATTGATTTATTTATGCATTTATTTCAGGCAAACACAGGAGCAGCACAGTTGATATTAGAATAAAAAAGCACACCTATGATTAGCCAAACCCCAGAGGCTGCATGTGTCACTGGCAGGTTACATTCTGTCGGATTGTAATGATCATTTGTAAGACCACTTAGAGCGCAAATTATACCCGATTCCTTTGATTAACTATACCCTGTCTGTTCTTTCCACACTTTGTCTTATGAGTAGAATACAAAAGTCTGAGAGGAAGGGCATAATGAACGCACTAAAGGTGATTTCTGATACCTTTTCCCCGTGGGGTAGAAGCGAGAGCAGCTCAGGCCGTCCCAGGCGCAGTACGGGTCCCGGGCCAGGCAGCAGTCCGCACAGGCCTCTCCGTACGCCCCACATCTGTGCAGTGAAACCTGAGAGACTCCAAACTCAGAGCTGACGTAGAGCTGTTGCTGCAACGCAAACAGTTCAAATGTCAAACGCCCTGTTTGTCTTAATAAGTGGAGGACTGACAGCAAAATGAGCCACAATTACAGCCTATTATGCCTCTTCCTTTGGGACAGACGTGGTTCAGTGGTGACACTGTTCCTGCTTTAAGTATGGCTTCTATACTCGTGTAGTTGAAAGAATCATATTGAAATAATGAATGCTTACTTACTTTTTTAGGGGAGATTCTCAAGTGTGTCACTGGACCTTGGTTCTGGAAAAGAAAAAAATACGTTTTAAATCGTATTTGTTTTTTTCTCAACATTAGTGTGCTTGCCATTTGCCTCCAATCTCTTCTTTTAATCTTTTTAAAGAACTTCTGTGATATTGAAATTAAACAGCTATCAAACAAAAAAGGACAACAAAGTAATGTTTGTTGTCCCTATACAAAACCAATCAAATAATACCAAAGTATTATATGAAACTGGTTCTCAAAAATCAGAGGGCTGAAGATATTAGACTATTTACAATCAATAACTATACTAGATATTGACCATCGCTGTATTGGACAATACTATAAGCCCTCCCTCCATCTTGGCCTCAAAAAGTACAAACACATACTCATCTACTTGGACATGTTATAGTGTAAATACCATACTTGTATTGTACATATTGTAAAATACACTTGGAACAAAACATCTGATAAAATGCACATTTATTAACCTTGTTTGTGAATCAGCAACTTTGAAATGTCCTTCAAGACGACTGCTGTTGTGATTTAGAGGGATACAATCAAATTTTTGTCTTCCTGAAAATGTGAGACAGGCTTGTTCGTTCTCTGACAATGTTCAAATACAGGTAAAAAGACAGTCCAGTTTGCCTGTGCGTACAACTGACGGATTTTACTGAAGACTTTTATCTCTTTTTAATGCATTGTTTTTTATTAATCTTATCCTTAGTGTAATCTTAATGTTTTAATGGTTTTAAGTACTTGTCTGATTTTATCTGTGTTTGTTTTATGTCATTTCTGCCTTGTGTGGAAAAGCGCTCTACCAATAAAGATAGATTGATTGATTTACTTGAACTGAAGCTCAAAATAAGCAAACAAAAGTCATGGAAGTAGTGTTAATAACCAAAACAACCAGCCCAGAAGGTATAGATAACCATTTTAGTTTTCAAGGGGCATATAATGTGTTTCCATCAGCTTTTGGCCATACTGTATGCGGTCTTCTCTTGGTTTCCTTAGAGCATAAATCAAACTGTCTGTAAACCTGCTGTGCCCAGAGTACAATGAAGATCAAAGCTGAGGGATGACCTTTGGCTGCGATCACAGACTTATCGCACATCCAATTCTCCGAAGAAAACTGTGTACAAAAGAAATTCTGAGGGCGAAGTGAGCGAACCAGACACCTTCGGCAAATGTACGCGTGTTTCTCATCACTGTGCCACTCTGCTTCTCTCTGCTCTTGGCCTTTACACCGAGGCCAAACTCTGCTACGCCTCTGTCTTTGATTTCATATCAGAGAAAAAGGAGGAGACCTTAAATACTTCCAGCTCCTCCAGGATCAGGTCTTCATGCATGGACTGGTTAGTGGGCAGGACGATGACCTTTTGGACCGTGCCTTTGTCTGCGGGGAGAGAGCAGAGAGAGAGAGAGTGTTTTGTGAGGGTATATCCTTTTCAACCACTGCGCTGATGACAGACGCGTGACTGGAGTTGCTCCGATTCAGAATTTGCTGTTTGAAAATAATAATGACTTCATACAAATCTCATGGATAATAGTAAATTAATATAAATAGGATTATAGGGCTGAGATTGCACTCTCGCTTCTCAGCAAGAAGGTCCTGGGTTCGAATCCCGGTCGGAACAGGGCCTTTCTGAGTGGAGTTTGCATGTTCTGCCCGTGTCTGCGTAGGTTTCCTCTGAGTGCTCCGGTTTTCCCCACCACTAAAAACACGCACAATAGGTATGAATGTGAATTAAAGCCGCAAGCGGCGATGAAAGGCCTCGCCCCTCTTGCGACCGCCTCCTGGGCGCCAGTCCCACAAGCGTCACGCAGACGAATTGGCAGCCCGATCTGACCAGGATTACATATATAAAAGCTCATTTATATGATAAAGTGCGTCCCTAGTGGTCACCTCCGGGACATGCACCCTCTACGTAGAGTAGTACTTTGCTCGTACAGATGTAAAGATTTGATTTTGCAACTTTGGTTAAGATCGGAAAAGTTTAGGTCAGAAGCCTTCCATAGGTGGCGCTGTAGAGTCATATTAGGTGTGTGTTTTCACACCATTACTCTCAGGTCATTACCAACTGTTAGCGATGTGAGTTTCAGCTCTGTAGGTCTGAGCCTGTGGTCAGGAGAGCATCAAACATGGAGAAATTCCCCACTACCTTGCATGAAAACGATAACAAAATTCTAACTTTTATGCGATGATTACATAACTTCAATCCGTCCAGATGGATAAATGACATGGTAGAAGTCTATGCGATGAAAATCCAGGGACTAGTACGAAGCCAAAAATGCAACACATTGAACTGCCTGTAGGTGGCGCTGTTGCACTCACAGTTGTGTGTTGCATATCGTTGTGTTCAGGGTCATACGTTGTATTTCTGAATTCATTTTTAGCCTCATCAGACAAACATTTTGCCCTAAAAAGCTCATTTATTCACTTTCCAGCGCCCCCAGTGGTCAGGTGTAGGACTTACAACTTTTGCGTAATGTAATGTTTTGCTCGTCTCGGTCCAGAGAATACACTCAGCGATTTTCGGGCCGATCCGAGCACTAGTGCCCTATTACTTTCCGACAGGTGGCGCTAAAGAGCTCAAATTGGGCGAATGATTTTAGTGTCATTGCGTTCAGGCCATAACCTAATATTACTGATGTGAGTCTCAGCTCTGTAGGTCTGAGCCTGTGGCCCTCAGGGCTCAGCGAAAATGGCCAAAACGAAGGCCTTATTTGCCATGGCGAGGGACGAAAACGGTGAAGATTTTCTAACTTTTTTTTGATGATTATATAACTTCAATCCGTCCAGAGCGGGAAATGACGTGGTAGAACTCTGTGTGATGAAAAACCAGGGACTAGTTCGAATTTATAAATGAAAAGTCAAATTAGTGGCGAAACTTCGGCCCCTCATGGCCGACTTCCTGTTGGTCCCAGACATGTGCTTAGAACGGCTTTTATGCTCGTCTCATAGAGATCTATCACTCATCCGAATTTCGTGTACCTACTCCAAAATTTGAAAAAAAATTCCCCAGAGGGTCAAAAAAAATGAAATTTCTAGGGGGCGTTATAGAGTCGGCGAGCGTCGGACAATCTGGAAACGTTCATTTTATCAAATGTTTCGCCGAACCGGTCGTTTTAGACCCCCCATGTGCAGACTTTCGTGCATGTCTTCAGGGTCAAAAATCGAATTGAAGTTGCGGAAAAAAAATAAGAAAAAGTATTATAATATGAAACCGGTGAATAACAATAGGCCTCCCCAATACTTCGTATTGGCTCGGCCTAATGAGAGAGTGAATGGATGGTGTTGATTGGGGGCTGATGGTCCAGTGTGTTCGGCGACTCGCTTCCGTCATCACCGTGTGTGGAATGATTGGAACAATATCTGGGCTCTGAACATTGTAAAACGCTTTGGGTGACCTTGGTCTGTAAAATGCGCTATACTGTATAAATAAACATTACTTACTTACTTACTAAATACAAGTTCAAACACTGAGACTGAGAACCATTCAGCCCATATCCTGGTATTAAATGTTCAAAGAAAGATGAGGGAAGGATTTTCATCACATTTATTAATTTGATAACTGCCAAAAAAAGTCAATTCATATTTTATTTTTCTTAGTGAATTGGTCTGCAGTAGGAGACAGTTTGGTGAGACTACATTCTGTATTCTAGTGTACTTACAATACTATTATTCAACAAAAGGCAAAGATAATAATGTTATATTCAACACTAATTCATTCAAATTAAACTGGGAAAATCATTAGACATTTACAGAAATCTCTTAGCGCGAGACACAATATTTCTGTATGGACCTAATGCTCAGAGTCAGATTTATTATAACAGCATGAATATTCTTATGACCATGGGTTGAGTTACATGTGGCGTAAACTTGTACCTGTGCCCAGGAATAACACTTGATAGTTTCCGTCGGCTGCTGCGACCTGATCCACCACGACTGAGGTGTACTTGTAGTCAGCTCCGGTGCGCACCACTAGGGGGCGCCTTCCCACGGGGTAGATGGAGTTGAACATAACTGGGTGGTTACGCACAAAGGTCACCACATCATCTGGAAAGTCTTTGGTGGTGTGGATGTCCGGGGTGAATGCTCCTCCTGGACACTGGGCACAGCAAAGTACATGTCATGGGAGTTTTTTTCATTTTAATTTGTTTTTTAAAACTTGTTATTAATTTCTTATACATTTCAAGGATTCACTATTTGAGTTAAACCAATGCAACGATTCCCCTGAGAGAATGTTACCCTGGACACTGGGCACAGAACTTGCTTAAAAGTTTTATTTTTAAACCTCTAAACGTCTCATGAGTTTTAGGACTTCAGTATTTGACTAAAACCAATGCAATAATTCCCTAAGAGAATGTCCAGCTGGGGACCATATGGGAATTCAATTAGCAGAAATATCCTTTTATGTGCACATCAGATCAGATTTTATTTGAAGGACATTTGGATTCTATTGGGGTTGAATTGTATCTAGCTTCAATACACTTTTGTTTTTGCTGCATGAACCAACTATCAGTGTGAATGACTACAGACAGACAGATAGACAGATAGATAGATAGATACTTTATTGATCCCCCGTAGGAGAAATTCAGGTGTCCAGCAGCAGACTCATGCAGGTCTGTTGTACAGTCTGACAGCCGGAGGAACAAAGGATCTCTTGAAGCGTTCCGTAATACAATTTTTGAGAAACTAAATACAAAACTTTTCCTTTGTCCGAATGCAGTAACTTTACTTTAAGGATACATTTACTAAGGCAGAGATGTTGTTTGGTGTGCTTTTTGAAATGACCCAATACAACCTCTTTGGTCAAAATCATTTGAAAAGAAAATAAGGTGAGGTGATTAGAAAGACTTTTTTTGTGCTTGTTTGATTGTCTTTATAATTCACTTTCAGGAGACAGACTTTGCTTTATTAAAAAAGACTGCAGAGGGTCAGCTGGTGGCCATGGAACACTATGCTAAGAAAACATTGTTGTATTTCTTCATTTGGGCATTTGAAATTTGTATTTGAATGGCTTTTTAACATCACGGCCAGGGGACTACAGATGAAAAATAGCCTCCTTGGCTAATTCTGGCTTTTTAAACTCATGTTTAATCATGTGTTTTATTAAATTGCATTGTCCCCTTTGAAAAAAAAAATGAAAAAGAAGAAATAATGTGATGGAAAAATGCAATAAGAAAACGGCATTTTTTTTGTGTCAATCCATTGCTACATCACGACTATATAATATAATGCAAATAAGACGGGATTCGTAATCAGAATACAGCACTCTGATTGGACGATACATCTGAATATGTTACAGAATCAAGTGCAGGTATTTCCCATGTTGTAACTGAATATCTATACAGTATACAGTATATCTAAGTACTTTCCAGAACACTGGTTACTGCTGCTTTATTTGAATCCAGACTCAAACCATTGTCATCATATACTCACAGTTCCCGGCCTGGGATAGGGAATGCGTCCCTGGAAGGCCACCCACTGAAAGTTGGGTCCATCTCTGTGAGCGAAGGGCCCATTGAATACAGTGAGGATGTCCGCCATGTTGTACATACACACCGCCGACCCTTTAAACACGGAGCTGAGAAACACAATTCAGAGTTTGTTAGACGTGAGACCCACACCTTTACACCATCCTTTCTGTTTATGAAAAAGAAGACATTTGTGGATGTCTGTGTTAAAACATTGTCCGCAGACTTCCCTTTAGAGGATTTCATGTGGTTTGGCTTTAAACTGGCTGTAACAGGAGCTTTGTAGAGCACGGAACAGAAGCGTATTGTGCCGAGACAGAGAATAACAGAGTGTGGAGACCTGGAGGACCTGGCTGTTTGCTTTGGCTGAGTTTTCTGAGTGGGAGAGCGCTAATGCAGGAGTTCTATGATCCTCCGTTTATGGTGGATCCAGGGCTGTGGACCAGAGGCTTAACCAGATGAACTCAATTAGACTTCAGAATTTAGGGATCAAGTGACCGCTCCTTTAAACTTTACAATTCGACACGGCAGCTACTATCACACACAGACCACATGTCACACTGAGGGCCTTTTGTACCGTAACCACAAACTTAACCTGTTCTATCAATGTTTTACTTATGTATAGACATGACGTAAAAGCCTTTCCATGATTTTTCATCCTGAATTAGGAACAGGAATTTGACTGAATGTCAGTGTATAGTGCAATTGTATAGGCTATATGCATATCCAGATAAATAAACATTGAAGTATTTTGTCTTGATCAGGAAAGCAACTTTTGCGATCTAGAAAAAAACAATAAACCAATAAATTACTTTCTCTTTGATTTATCTCATGTATGTATGTATGATATGATTTCAGAAAGAAACACGTTTTCCTAGTGTGTAGAGTAAACATTAATCGTATCATATTGGGTCATCATAACTTTAAGGTTGTTGTAGCATATACTTTAAATATGATACAGATTATAATCAAATTCTGCTGAGGAGGCTGCGGTGAAAACATAGACTGTAAAAAATAATGGACGTAGTCACGCCTATCTCCGCCGTTCAAACTAATGGGCCAAAAATAGTGCTCTACTGGAGCAATCCAAAATGGCCGTGAGTGGCCCCACCCACAAGAACATTGTGAAAAAACGCATCTGCGCATGCGTCATCCGGCGAGAGTTCCATTCATTTGAACGAGAGACTTCAAAAATTCACAGCAATTAAGTAAACTTGAGTGGTCCAAAAAAATTCACCCCCCTCAGCATTGACACACATGTGGAACGGAGCTTTGGGCCAAGAGCCAGCTTTTGGTCCATCCTGTAAAGACGTTTTCGAGAGGTCTGCCAATGCTATATGTTAGCATTGGCTAATTCTTCTTCTGGGTCCACCCCCATCGGCCCGGGGTAGTATTGCAGGCATGCCAGCGCACGTCATCTTGGCCACTTTTGAGCCGGAACCCGCCCCCACTGGGTGAAACACAAGCAGACCATGCACTTACACTGTATACATGCCCAAAAGTTCAGACAAACTGGATCCACAAACTATTAGATAAGACTTAGATAAGCGTTCCTTTATTCGTCTCACAGTGGGAAACACCTCTTGCTTGGTATTCCATCAAACATGGCATGAACACATTATGCGAGTATATAACATTATATAAAAAAAATATATATATAAAAAAGTTAGCACTTTTTATTCAAAAGGTGGTCATTATATATACATTAATTTCAATAATAATAATAATAAAATAGTTGATAACTGAATATGAATGTTATGAAAGAGGGATTTGGTCTTCTTGTTTATATATTTTTGCACATCTGTGCAAACATATGCAAATGGTAGCTTGTCAGTTCTTCTGTCATGACAAGCTACCATAATTGAGGGACAATCAGAGCTGCCACACAATTCACACAGCCCCAAACCTGATCCTCCTGTAGGTGGTGAGTCTATAGCAAGATGGCTGCAAAGTCAGCAACAACACAGCCTTGGTCATTTAGCAGGGGCTTCAGGCAAAGTGGGGCTAAGTGTCTGGGAGTAGGTCTCGTGGGGTGATCGAAGGCCAATGCTCTAACAACTGAGCCAATTTCCTTTCATGGACATTTGTTGGTTGCAAAGGCAAGCTGGAGTTTCCCTACAAATGAAGGATCTGATTGGACAATCCTAATGGCTCATATTTGGTTTCACAAAGACAATATCAAACTAAAAACACCAGGATCACAGACATTGCTAAACCACAGACACAAATGGGTTTGAGTATGGGTGAAGCAAATTGAGAACTTCTCTGTTGTGCTTCATTGAGATAAATGTCTATAGATGAGCGTTGCCCATTTACTGTATATACAGTCTATGCTAGCAACTCAGTTACATCATATCTCAGGTACAGTAAAATGAAACCAAAAGAAGCAGGTCGTCCAGAGTCCAGCTCCAGATAAGGGCCCTGCTACAGCCTGTTTATGGTTATTCAGCCACTGGCCAGTGCAGACATCTCATGCATTTCATTCCCAACAGTGAAGGGATTCAGGCTTATTACGTGTCCTCTGCAATTGAGGCACCACTTTAGTGTTTTGAAATGTCGAGGAAAATTGATTCACCGATTTATGAGCTTTGAGTGTACAGTAGACTTTTACCACTTTTATAGTCTGCCGTCTATCACCGACTAATGGTTGCTTTAACAACTTGACCACGTTGCAATAAGATAAAAACAACCTTTGTTCCGTGGAGAAACTTCAGTGTTTCCTCACATAGTACAGAACCGTGAGATTAGAGCCAGCACTCAACACAACATGAACTGACCTAGAGTCTCACTTCTGCTGGAGTTTTGCAGAGCACAAAAAGCAAGTTAGGAAAGGAGCTGCACAATGAGCAGGAGAGAAGAGCAGCTCCCACCAGAAATCAGAAAAATTCAATTCAAATGTCTGGTTTTTTAGGTCATTTACAAAAATCTGGCCTTACTCTGGTCTGAGGCCAGATTCCCTGGTCCTTTTTACCGGGGGAGCAGACAGAGCCCCATTATTTACGATCAATGCGACAGCCTCACACTGACGAAAACAGCAGGGGAGAAGTGACTCCTGTAGGTGCTCCGTGCAGAGGGATGATGCACTTTCCAATCAAACAAGTCAGTGAAGTTTGCTGCACAGTGATGTCAACTTTTTGACTGCAAAGAGTAGCGTTCATAAACGGTGTACAGACGCAACTGTAGTATTTGGTTTCTTGATCAAACCGAATACCGTCACATCATTGAGTGCAGAGATGAATTTGTGTTTTGTCAGCTTCTGTTTCGTTATCTTTTTTTTTTTTTTTTTTTTTAATTTTTTTTTTTTTCTTTTTCCTTTATTTATTCGAAATCTAATATATACGGTTTACAAATACAGTAGGTGTTAAGGTGGGAGGGGTTGGGGGGGGGGGGGGAGAGTAAAAAAAATAAAATAAAATTATTCGGGTTGCGTTTTTTATTGTTTCAGTTCTGCCTTGGTTTGCGGAGTTTCTGTATATGTATGTGATTGTGTATGCAATGCAGGGGTGCATAGGTGCTATGTCGAATGTGGTCAAATGAGTCTATATATTTTACTAAAAAAAAAAAAAAAAGAACAAAAAAGAGGGGTTTATATATATACACATCATCATCGCTATCACTATTATCATCGTCATTGCCACAATCATTACCCATTGCTAATTTTATCTTGCTGGGCTTTGGTGAAAAATAATAATAGTAGAATAAATGACAATAATAATAAATCAATAATTAATATTAACAAAAATGAACAAACAAATCATAATAATAATGAAAAGCAGAGCGTGCTGCGAGACGGGCTCACTCAACAGGCCCTGCTTGTCCTCTTGTCAGTCCTGTGAGGTGCATTAAAAAAACAAGAAATTTGTGGGGCCGATGAGGTGGGAGATACCTCACATCGACCCCACATCGGGCCCACTTCTTGTCTGCCCTGTTGTTCTCTATGTTATGTATATTTGATTTATCCATTTATTTTATAAACACAACGTTATATATATTCTTTTTCTTTCCTTCTTTCCTCTCTTTTCCAGTACCTGATTGTAATCTTGGCTATAATGTGTATAGTTTGTTCAGATATCCAATTTAAGTGAGAGAGGAAATGTAAATAATAATAATAATAATAATAATTATAATAACAATTATAATAACAATAATGACAATAACAACAGCGACGTGAGGAAGTAAGTAAACAAATAAATAAATATTTGGAAATAAATGATCCTAAATTCATATGTAAATAGTAATAGTAACTGATTTTAACTTATCTATTTGGAGAGGGTGTGCGAGAGTGTATGTATGCGTGCATGTGTGTGCAGTTGTGTATGTACGTCTGTTTATATGTGAAGGATTATAAGAATGTGAGTGGCACTTTTAGTCTCTTTGGTATATTAATTTGTGGTTGTGTTTTGGGATTAAATTGATGTTGAGAAATTATTGGGGTTGATGTCAAAATGACTAATGAATGGTGACCAGGAGTATGTAAAGGAAGTCATGTCATCATCATGGCGAGCTGCTATTTGAGAGGATGTTATGTATTGAGTAAGAGAGTTGGTCCAATGATTGATGTTGATTGTGTGTTTTGTTTTCCAGTTTTGGAGTATTATTTTCTTGGCGACAGTTAGGGATGTGAGTAGACTGTTCTTATGTCTAGGCAGTATTGTTGTTGTTGAAGTGAGACCTAGTAAACAAAGCGAGGGAAGTAAAGGGACTCTGCAGCTCAGGATGTGTGAGAGTTCTTGTGTGATAGTGTTCCAAAAAGCCTGTACAGGAGTGCATTCCCAAAGTGCATGTAGGTAGGTATCAGTGGCCCCCATAGTACATTGTGAACAGATGGCTGTATCTGCTAGTCCCATTTTATGCATCCTGTGTTGTGTGATGTGTGACCTGTGTATGACTTTATATTGGATTAATTGCAGATTGGTGTTGGGTGTCATAGAAAAGATGTTTTTACAAGCTTCTGTCCAGTGTTCCTGTGTGAGTTCTGTATTAAGATCTATGTTCCATTTTTCTGTAGGTAAATGTATTGTATCAGAGTTGAAATGTCGGTATAATTTTGAGGTGAGTTTTTTAATTTCTTTAATGTTCTTTATGTTTTCGAATAGTTGGGATGGGTTTAATGTGTTATGTTTGTGTAAGCCCTCAGTCGTACAGGGATTAGTCAAAGCAAAGGAAGGTTTCTCACCCATCATCTGTACTTCTTAGCAAGTTTTCCCGACGTTTCGTCCTCAACCTGGGGACTTCTTCAGGGAATGAATTCTCAGACCGCGCGTTGGAGATTTATAACCTATGGGTGTGGTTAGCCACACCCTAATCCTGATACTAACTCGTAAACAATCTAAGGTCTGCTTGATGTAGAAGGGAGCAGGTCTAACGACCCTGCTGAGGCTAACGACCCTAACTCCTTAGCATGTCACAGACCTATTGTCTGCTGGGATGCTCAAGTGGAGTGCAGGTCTCACCCCTCCTAACTCATTAGCATGTCACTGACCTTGTCCCAAGTTAGGGCGTTGTTTTTAGGATGTCGTCATATAGATGCGAGGCAATACAAATCTTAACACTCCTCCTCTGTTAAGAGAAGGTTTTTGTTTCCTCACAAAAATGGCTTCTTTCACTCCTCTCTCAAACCAATTCTTCTCCCGAGCCAGAATTTTAACCTCTGTGTCATCCACCGTGTGGTTGGAGGCCTTGAGGTGGAGATGAACAGCCGACTGTGGCCCACTAGAGTTTTCTCTACGGTGTTGGTAAAGTCGTTTCTGTAGAGTTTGTTTGGTTTCTCCAATATAGTGGTCAGTGCACTCCTCTTCACTACATTTAATTGAATACACCACATTGCTCTGTTTGTGTCTGGGTGTTTTGTCTTTGGGATGCACTAATTTCTGTCTTAACGTGTTGAAAGGTTTGAAATACACAGGGATTTTGTGTTGCCTAAAGATTCTTTGTAGTTTCTCTGAAACTCCCGCCACATACGGTAAGGACACCCCTCTCCTCCTACTTTCTTCTGTCTGTAGGACTGTGTCCCTGGCCTTGGGACAAGGTCAGTGACATGCTAATGAGTTAGGAGGGGTGAGACCTGCACTCCACTTGAGCATCCCAGCAGACAATAGGTCTGTGACATGCTAAGGAGTTAGGGTCGTTAGCCTCAGCAGGGTCGTTAGACCTGCTCCCTTCTACATCAAGCAGACCTTAGATTGTTTACGAGTTAGTATCAGGGTTAGGGTGTGGCTAACCACACACATAGGTTATAAATCTCCAACGCGCGGTCTGAGAATTCATTCCCTGAAGAAGTCCCCAGGTTGAGGACGAAACGTCGGGAAAACTTGCTAAGAAGTACAGATGATGGGTGAGAAACCTTCCTTTGCTTTAATGTGTTATATTTTATGTTAATTTTATTTTTAATTACAGATTTAATTTGTAGGTATTGAAAAATATTATTGCTGTCAAGTTGATATTGTTCTCTGAGCTGCGTGAATGTTATGAATTTATTGTTTTTGAATAAGTGGCGTAGGTGAGTGATGCCCTTTTGTTCCCACATGTGGTAGTGAAGAGGTTTTGTATTAATTGTAAAATCCGGATTGTGCCATATGGGAATGTATTTACAGGGTGATGTGGAGGAGTTAGTTAGTTTTAATGTTTTCCACCAGGCTGTCAGAGTAGTTGAAATGACTGTGCTTTTAAAACAGGGGTGTTTTTTCAGTGTTGTATTTAAAGAAGGTATATCTGCCAGAGGAAGGTGAGTGAAGTATGACTGTTCCAATTGAATCCATGTATTGTTGTGTGATGGTTTTGTCCACTTAACTAGATACTGTAATTGATTGGCCAGAAAGTAGTGGATGAAATGTGGCGCTTCTAGTCCGCCTTGAGCTTTGTTTTTTTGTAAAGTGGTGAGTTTTATTCTAGCTTTTTTGTTTTTCCAATTTTTTTCCAGTTTTTCCTTCTGTCTTGTTATCAACACAAATTCACAATTTGCTTCACAGCAAGAAGGTCCTGGGTTCGAATCCCGGTCGGAACAGCGCCTTTTTGAGTGTAGTTTGCATGTTTTCCCTGTGTCTGTGTAGGTTTCCTCTAGGTGGTCTAGTTTCCCCTACCACTAAAAACATGCACAATTGGTATGAATGTGAGTTGTCACGGCCCCTCACTGCCTGACAGACACAAGCCTAGAACCAGCTTGTGAAAAACTGAGTGAGTGAATGGATAGTGTTGGTTGGAATCTTTGATGCGGCAGTGTTTTTGGCATCTTGCTTCCGTCAACACCATGTGGAGAGAACGAAACAATATGTGAACTCTGAACATTGTAGAGTGCTTTGGGTGTCCTTGGTCTGTTAAGATGCGCTATAGAGGATTACTTCCCAGGCAGTGGGTGATGTCAGAGGCAAGAAGGAGCGCAAGTGAGCTAACTACCTTTTAAATTACCTTTTTAAATTCACTATTATCACCGTCTCACTGCTGATCATTTTCCCAAATAGACACAAGCATGAAATAAATAAATACATATAACTGATGAGAAAACAATTATGTTTTATACCTATGCTCCAGATCAATATCTGAATTCCATTAAAGAAATGGAACTGTGTCTTATTGAGTGCGATTAGTTTTCACCTCCGTTCACTGCAACAGAACTGGGCAGAGATCTCTAGCTTTGACACATATGGAAAGCACATTCAAATGGAGGTCATCTGGAAAAGACTCAAATGCTGTTGTTTGAATCTGTGTAAACATGTCTGTGCCATATAACATATGGCAAGCCAAAACAGCAGCGTCCTTCCTCATCGGCTCATTTTCTCTGCAGATAAAGGAATGTTAGAGTTGGCGCTTACCTCGTCGACGTGAAGACTCCGAAAACCAGAAGACCTTTGGGTTGATCTGTTTCCAGCAAAAACACACTTTCTGTAGAGGAAACATGAAGTACTTACTGTAATGCAATAAACACATGCACTGATATACCATCAAATACATCTATTTGGTAAAAGAGATTTGTTTACAAGGGGATATTCCAAAAGGTGTGCTTAAAAATGTAAATAAAGTAAATAAAATAGGAAGGCTGTTGTGGTTGAAGTGCTGAAGGTATGACAAACCAGAGCAAATAATTTCATCTAGGTGAATTATGTCTGCAGAAAACAGTTGCTGGATTCAATTAACTGGCATAACATGCTTTCAAGAACAAAAGATTGTATCGCTGCCACACACATTTTTGTGATAGATTCCAAAAAAAGAAAGCTGACACACCAGCCGTGCAAGTCAAACAAAAATGTTGAAAGAGCTAACCCAGTTCATCAAAGTGTGTCTCGGTGCCGTCCTCCTCAAAAACAGAACACACCATCCGAGCTTTGAGGAACGTGGTCCATTTGTTCACCAAACTCCGCTGGCCGCCGATGTCGTTCTGCACAAACAGAAGAGATGAGTCACATTTGGTTTCACTCCAGGCCTCATTATTGTATTATCTAAAAATCACGTCTTGTGACTTGGAACAAGACATCCCCATTAGTGGCGAGACATCAACATTGAATGACCATTTATTTCCCCGTCACATTTTTCATCCACAGTGCCTAATATTAATGATCACAGTTACTGACTACAGTATCCTAATAGTGGTGACAGGGAGGTGTCAAAACCAGTGGGGGCGGGTCCCGGCTCAAAGAGGTCAGTGAGCATGTGCGCTGACATGCTTGTTTTCTGACTCCTTGCTGGTGGTGGTGTACCCGGAAACAAAATTATCCACTGAATTCTTATGGCGCCTTTTTTCCTCTTGAAAACGGTTTTACAGTCTGGTCCAAAAGTCTGTTCTTGGCTCAACACTACATTTCAGATACATGTCAATGCTGAGGGGAGTATCTTTTTTTGGACCAGCCAAGTTTAGCCGCTGTGGACTTTTAAATGAAAGCATTTTCAGCCATGTGTCAGTATGGATCCAACCTAACGCATGCGCAGATGATACAGCCTCCACTCCTAAAGCGTCTCATGCTTTTTCCCCCCATTTTCTTGTGTAAGGGGCTACTCACGGCTATTTTCAAACGGTACTTGTTGATCACACATACATTTCAACGGAGGAAATAGGCGCCACGTAGCGTGGCGTGAATATTTACAGTCTATGGTCCAAACACAGACTTACAGGGCACACTCGGGCCACCATAGTGTGGATACTCTTTGTGATGCCGCTGTTGTCTGTAAGTCTCTCTCTTATGAAGAAATACAGCTTAGCATCATTCGAGTCTGTCCCATCTGGTATCAGGTGAGCGTCGATGAAGATTGGCTCTGGATAAATACATGAAAAGGATAATGACAAACTTAATAAATAATAACTCCACAGAACATATTTACTGTACACCAAGTTTCCTACCACTGAGCCACTTGGAGTTATGTTGGTCTGTCCGCACTGCATTTCTGCTGGTGAGGCTCCTAAAGATGGCTGCGTCTGTCCCCATGAAGTCAATGTACATGCCAGAGAACAGCTCCCTGTCTGGACCGAGGCAAAGACATTAGTCCACTGACGTGTTACATCTGCTTTCAAATGGGGAAAGGACATTACTGAGAGACACTGTCTGTATTTGATATTGAGAAAAACATCAGTACACACAAACACATACCCAGGTCCATACGTGCAAAAAAAAAAACCACAACATTGAATAAGGTCCAAACAGAACCACCAAAATGGATCTGTTGAATCATGAGCATACGCGTGTCAGTTGAAAAATTCAATACAAAATCTAAGCTGATTGCAGTGCTTAAGCTTCCAGATGAAAAATGCTTCAGACAATTAAAAACAGCCTTTGCTTCTTGTTCCCTCCCTGTGTTCACTGGACGTCTTTTGCAATCTGTCTTGCTTCATTGTCCACAGGTCCAGTCCATGTTTATGTGAGCTTGTGTTATGGTTTCTGAAGCATGCATGTTACTCATGGCGAAGGGAACACCCACGCCCATTTGAGTGATACCATTTCTGCAGAAAAGTCTTGTAAAGTAAGGGTAAGTCGTAAGCAAGAATTATTAGCAACATTAGCACACCATTTATAACCCATATGCTTACATTTCATATATATACACGTATATACAGTGAAGTGTCTTGCCTAAGAACACAGAGACGTCTTCACAGTTTGAAATTGAGTAGAATCTTTGTGTATAAATAGTCTCATGTTGATACTATTGCTTCATCTTGACACTGTGTATTGCAAAAGGACAACACTATAGGAGGCGTAATCAAATCCTATCTGTGAGTCTGTAGATTTGATTGAACAACACCAAGAGCTACTGTCTCCCAGGATACTGTGAGCATAAACGGACGCTCCAACCACCTCGTTCTGAAGACACATGACTGTACACTTGTATCTGATCTTTCACTTTTGATCCACACACTGGCTGAATCATTGCTGTTCCTCTGCGCCTCTCATTCTTGCCGCCTGATGTCACGGTTCAGTCTGACCCCTCTCCTGGACGTGTTGGCAGAGCTGCTGCTGACTCGCTCTGCTCCGGTGTCAGAAAGTGGAGCTCAAGGTGCAACTTGTCGCCCCTAACGCTGCCAACTGCAACCCAACACCTCTGCTCCAATCACAGATCAAAGAAATCAAGAGGAAAGAGACACGGAAGCCAATCCTGGGGGAGACATTAAGTGTGTTTGATGTCCACAACTGCTTTTAACTATAGCGCCGGCAAAGCTATTTATGGGTAATTTTACAAACAAACACCATATGACTTGAGCTCATCTCATACTCTTGGCGAAAGACTGAAATGGGCTTCATTTAAACTTTGAATGTAAGTGAGTAAAGACTTCATTCAACTTCCAGCCTGGGGGCCAGATCAGGACCTCCGAACAATCTTATCTGGCCCTCAGCCCATGATCACTGCAAAAAAGTAATCAAAGGAAATTCTTGATTCGAGCCATCTTTGTTGAAGTGCATTTAGAAAAAACAAGATTCAAAGTCAGAAATGGGTTGTCTCTTAAAAGCAAGACATTTTTGCCTGTCCCCTTGGCAAAGACTTAAAACAAGTCAAATAACCTTGATTCCAACCATTTTGACTATTTTTGTATTTTTGTTTTGTAAAAAAAACAAAAAACTTAAGTTTGGCTCATCTGGTTATGGTTTATTATTAAGAATTTTTAAGAATTGCACCCGCCTAGAATGTATTCACCTTTATTTAACCAAGAGAATCACATTGAGATCTCTTTTCCAAAGATGTCCCTCCACAACCCTCAAAAACAGTTGTGTTGTATAATCATCAGGCCCCGAGCACATTGCCATCCAAAAAACTCAGCCCTTGGGAACAGTCAAATAGCCCTGCACAAGATTAAACTTGAGATTTAGACGGCATGTGTTCTATTTTCGAAGATTTCAACTAGAGATCTGTGGGTGTGATGACTTTATGCAAAAGGATTCCAAAGTTAAGGCCACCAGTATGGGTCAAACATATTTTTTAAGATAAGACATGAGGATGTAATGAGCTCTGTGACGTTAGGGTTGATTGTGATTCATCAAGATTACGACTTGAAAGTTTAAATGTCTACTCTTGGTTGAACGTTGCAGAATAACTTTGTGAGATATTTAAGACACATGTACTGTACAAGGAACCATGCGTCACAAACACCTACTGAGCATGACGGACACTGTGTTGACTTGAGGGTTGAAGGAGCACCTCCCTTTTCCAGATTCACTCTTGGAGTCGATTAGAAATACTTGTTCCTGTCGCAGAGAGAAGAGCATGTTATATTGTGCCGACAGTTTAACAGGAAAGGTTTGTATGTACTACTATAAAACTGCTGTTAGGAGGGAACCCAATGTCCCTTAAGGTAAAGCTGTTCAGATTTTCCACATCGTAATTTTTCTGTCTTTTTAGACGGGGAAACCCTGGTCAAGACCTTCTTTACTCTCCTTAAGGGCCAGTAAAAAGAACGTTCCATTACGAAAAAAAGATTGTCTTTATTGGGCTGTATAGTAAGGGAAAAAGGACAAAAAATAGCGGAGCGATGATACATATGTGTTTTGATCCTCTAAAATCTACTCATTGCTGATGTCAGTATGGAGAGTTTTAAGGAAAACACATCTTTGGTTTAAAATATTGTTTCTTTAAAGTAGGAATATGTACAATTTTCATGTCAAGTCATCATTAAATGGCCCAAATATGTCAAAAGGCTTAAACAAAACATGCTCTTTTCAAACACTTCTTTAACTGATAGCAGTAGCTCAGCCAAGATATGATTTTAAAATGAGTTAGTTTTCATTTCGATGTCCTGCCCTCTATTCAGATATTATGGTCCCAGCTGGATTCGTCTGCACATCTGGCAACCTGAGTCAGGGAGAGTGGGAGAGGTTGCAGAATCATTTTGGCCACATTTTTACATACTGCTCCTTTAAATACACATTTTCTTGACAGCAACAGTTCAGAATGAAACATATCCTGATCTGATGTGTTCAAGAAATTCATTGCAAAAAAAGTCAAAAGGATAGTAAATCATAAAAACCCCTTCACATACAGTTGACAACCTCACGTGCCGGCAGAACTGTAAGTTAACTGCACATATAGGCAAAGTGTTGGAAGGTACACTCACGCCAACATTAACAAACATCAAACTCTAATGGTGGTCAAAATAATAGTACAAATTCTGCCGCCTTTGTGCTCTGTCAGGGTTTTTTGGTTATGTCCTGATTTGAGACCAGTTGAGTCTGGACATGGACCTGGTTTGATCCTGATATTTAAAGTAAGCCACGCCCACCTCTGGTCGTCGCCCCCTGTTGATGTAGACACAGACTGGACTATAGGCTCCGCTGCCGCACATAAACATATGAGTCCGGTTATAAGGCTGCACCACGCGGATGAAGTTACCACAGCCGTGCTGCAAAAAACATTTAAGAGACAGATATGCAAAAGGTCAGTATCCACGAGAAGATAAATCACACCCTGCAGCACACATGGACCTACAGAATGACTCCTATCTACAAACAGTTACTGCAGAAACACACAATTGTGGTTAGTTGCAAAATACTTTCTGTCAAATTAAAGATACCCCATAGAGATTAGAGATTCAACCTTTTGTTCAGATCAGAGTCAGAGCAGGAGGAAGGAGAGGTGCAGGGATCAGGGGGAAGAGGGAACATGAAGAACTGCAGTAGCTCCTGGTCCTGATGACTAAAGGCTGAATCTCTCGTCATCATTCACATTTCATCTTTTTGGTTTATGATATACTGAGTTTTCAGATCACATGTGAACCCTGGGGCAGTGTAGAAGCTTTTATCTGCACTGTTCAGAGCGGGGCTTTAAAGGGGAACATCCTTCTCGTTAAACTTAGCACCGCTCAGATGTTCAAAACATTACTTTGCAGATTCAGATTCATTCTTTTGACCTATTTTGTATGTTTAAAAATGAAAAAAGGTCATATAACCCCACAACTTTTACAAAAATAAAAAGCTGGATTTACATGCATTTGGTACTGAAAGTCCTTTTTACAGTCACCTTGTGTGTTTGTCTGTCTGTAGCTACACAGTAGAGATGTCAGTTGTCTAATACAATATATTCTGATTGTATTCGACTCTGTGATGAATATTTTTGATGTTTCAAGGCATTTTATAGTATGTGATGTGACATGTACATTTAAAACCGAAAAAAAACCCCAGACGGAAATAGTGAGTAATACATTTAAAAAAACTAAATTAATCAAAGATGAATCATAAGTCCGTGGCGGATGGCTCAAACTGCACTAGTGACTCAGAACACATTCTTAAATGGAAAGAGCTTCTCCTCTGAGCTGGAGAAACAGCCTGGTTGAACAGAAGCACAGCTGTAGGAGAGTAAAAATAGTTTGAGCATGTGGCCTTAAACAGAATCATTTTGTGAAAGAAAGTTCCAGTTTTATAATTCACTAAACATTTTAATAAGAACAAATTGATATTTAGGATCACTTTCAACATCTATTCAGGGACAACACATGTAAAAGGCCGTTTGGAAAATTCATATTACATGTGAAATATTGTCTCTGCCGTTTTATATGTTGTTGATTAGAACCCATTCTAGCGTAAATGTGTTTGGACCTGTTCCAGTAACATGGCTCTCGTCAGGCCACAGGACATAGTTCATTCATATTTTCAAATATCAATTCATTTAAGTTTTCCCCATGGTCATTAGTGGCTGTTGGGAAATAACAGTCAGTTTATGGGTATAGGGTTATTCAGAAAGAGAAGGTTAGATTCGCTTCATTGTGTGGATAAAAATGGCATCAAATATTAATTGGTACGTTCTTTATGGTTTCAAAATATATATGAAATCTAAACATGTAATGCTCGACAGCTTTTTTTACACCTAATTATTTCATATTTGTGTGTTTGTAAGACATTATTACAACAGAATTATAACAGTAATCCATGCAGTTTATTCACGGTGAACGCTTCTTACCGTCGGGTCTTTTCCGGCCATTTGGCATTCTTCTATTTTACTGTTCGATGCTGGCCAAAATACCTGACGAAACAAAAAACAACGTGTGACAGATCTGTGGAAAGATTTGGATCACGTTTATTTGCAGAGGACAGAAATGGAACAAAGCAGATGAGTGTGAGGTTGATGGCAGCATGTGTGGAAAATGTTTGTGCTTTTTAACCACAAAGGGGTGCCCAAAGGTCCAGCTCATCCAGCACATCAAGCATTTGGGTTGGTTGAAAGTGGATGCGGCGCAACACTCCCTCGTGGGCTCTAAATGCTTCCCCATCTGTTTATGCACTTCATCCCTGTCAATTACACCAGCCGCAACTCCTTCACCGCATAAATAATCAGTCAGCAGCCACTGCAGTGTTTTTATACATCTCTCCGGGATCACCCCAAATTGTCTGATTATCACTAATGTACCCTAATCTGCATAGAACTGTGCACAGAAGCAAAACACAATACTTTGAGGGTGTCCATGTGTATCCCTGGACTAGAGTGCGTTTGGAAATATAATGCATGTAATCAGAGCGCTAACCTTGAGTGTTCCGCTGGTGATATTATTAATGTCCATTGACAGAACATGGTCTTTGCAGCCCACGTACATGCGGTCCTGGTCCTCGTCCATATGCAGGATCCTGTAGTCCATTGCTTTGTCTGAAATACTGTAGTGTTCAAAGGACTCTGATGATTCGAGGTCTGTGAAATGCAAGAGACAAAACAACACATGTGATTGGCTTTACTTTTTTAAAATATATCACAAAACCTGTGACCTCGATGACGGAAATGATGACTGATCTCTCATGGTCACTCTCTCACTGAACAACACAAATCCTCCCTAACCCACACCTGTGCCTGAGCTCATCAAGCATCAGTTCAGCAGCTGCTGTTCATGCAACAACCTCCCTCCTCCTCATCAGCAGAGGAATTATCATGTTGTCGGCTCAACTTCCAGCAACATGGATTACGGATTGTGTTCTCATAATCTCTATTCCATTTCCTCCTGAATATGGCATTGCAAAATCATATCCAACATTTTTTGGTACTACAGTCATTATATGTTGGCGAGCATAAGTCCCAATCGTGAAAAAATAAATGATGCAAACATAACTGAATAAAGACCATTCTAATGCATTTTTGCATTGAGTCTTTCTATATTGAAATAGCACACCAAGGTTCTGTGTCACTTGAGTATGATAAGGCCTAATCGTCATACAGTAGAAAGTGTGGAAAGATTGCATACTGTACGCTCACACTTACCTGCTGTGAGTGTGAGTGTACGCGATGAAACTACATTGACAGGATGAGACAGTGTTACTGTAAAATATACTTTTCCTGGGTCCTGCTATGATGGTGAAAATACATCTCTTGTATCTGAACTCCAGCCCCTTCTTCTTTTGTTGTTAAGTTAGAAATACTGTATCTGCTGTTCGGAATTCCAGAGGAGGAACGACACTATCCTTCAAGGACAATGGACCCGTACATCAATGATATCGACTCATAGTCAATATGTCCTGACGGAAGCAATCCCTGTATTTTAGAGTAAGTGATTTGTCTGGAATTTGTAAAAGGTGCTTAGTCGGTGTGGAAACGTTCCATGTTTAAAAGGTCTGCAATTCAGCAACAAGGAGAGCAGACATAAGAAGGATATTTTTTAAACTCTTCACAAAAAGAAAAACATCTCTGCCATAGCATCAAGGACCTCTCCAGTGCGAGGCAGACTCATGCATATTTATCACTTTTCCAATCTATGTAAAGAGCAGGGGGAGGACCACAATGCCTTTTCTCCATTGACCCTCTTTGTGTGCAGCCTCTAATCAACAAACAGGGTCCTCATTTGTGGGTTACCGCTTCAGGCTAAAGTCACATTTTCATTATTGTTAGACATACGCTTAGAGACTGGCCTCTTTCATCTAAAAGGGAAGTGGCTTTTGTGCCACTCTTGGCACTGATCACAGGCAGTTGTATGAGCTTAATGCTCCGGGTGTTTATCTTTAAATAATGTAAACCACTGCAGAGACAAGGTACTTTCCCACGGATACTGACCAGTCTTAATAAAAAAAAACAGACAATCTGCCTTCATATAATATCAAACTATGATAAAATCATGGAAAGATTACAGTTTTCATTGAGAAGAGCAGTTATCATAGAGCGTCCTTCACCGTTACTATGAAAAGACCAAGAAACTACAAAAAGGAAAAGTAAATAACTTTATAGGCATTTCATTTTAACTATTACATAATTCATTATTGCTTGCTGACCTTTAAATAACACTGATTTTATTCGTTATAAGAGAAAGGAAAATGTATTATCAATGTCTCTCTTCACCATCTCTGTTCTAATCAAACCAGGGAACTGAAATTTGTCACTAATTACAGCACACAGTACAACAATATATATGGTCAGCGGTATTCTCAGAATCAGAATCAGAATCATTTTTATTGCCACGTAAGTAACAGGAGGTCACAGACTAGGAAATTGCTTTGGCTCAGTGCAACAGTCAAAAAGAGATAATAAAAATAAGAATTAAAAACACTTCTAAAGAATAAATTTAAATTTAAAATAGAGTTACAGTTACTATTTACAATATACAAGTGCACATGGTGCACACAATGTAAGGTGACAGCAGTACAGTGAAGTAAAGTGACGTATGATGGGCAGTAAAGTGACTTTATAAAGGGCGGGGGGACAGGTTAAGAAGTGTTCAAGAGTCCAACAGCAGAGGGGAAGAAACTGTTCTTGTGGCGGGAGGTTCTAGTCCTGATGGACCGCAGCCTCCTGCCTGAGGGGAGTGGTTGGAATAGTCCATGTGCAGGGTGAGAGGGGTCGGCTGTGATACGACCAGCCCGGCCTCGAGCTCGGGCGACGTACAGGTCCTGCAGCGATGGAAGGCTGCGGCCGATCACTTCCTCTGCAGAGCGCAATATGCGCTGTAGTCTCTGTTTGTCCCTGACTGTGGCTCCAGCGAACCACACGGTGACGGAGGAGGTGAGGATGGACTCGATGATGGCCGTGTAGAACTGCACCAACATCTGTGCAGGCAGCTTGGCTTTCCTGAGCTGCCGCAGGAAGTACATCCTCTGCTGGGCCTTCTTGATGAGGGAGCTGATGGTCGGCTCCCACTTGAGGTCCTGGGTGATGGTGGTGCCCAGGAAACGGAAGGACTCCACAGAGGTGATGGGGGAGTCCATCACGGAGGGTGGGGGTGGGGGGGACAGTGCTCTTCCTGAAGTCCACAATCATCTCCACTGTCTTCTGGGCGTTCAGCTCCAGGTTGTTACCACTGCACCAGGACACCAGCCGGTCCACCTCCCTCCTGTAGGCGGACTCATCGTTGTTGGAGATGAGTCCAATGAGGGTGGTGTCGTCCGCGAACTTGATCAGCTTCACGGAGTCGTGGCTGGAGGTGCAGTGGTTGGTGTACAGGGAGAAGAGCAGGGGAGAAAGAACACAGCCCTGTGGGGCTCCTGTATTTATAATCCGAGAGTCCGAGACATTCTTCCCCAGACGCACTCGCTGCTTCCTGTCCGTCAGGAAGTCAGTGATCCACCTGCAGGTGGAATCGGGCACGTTGAGCTGGGAGAGCTTGTCCTGGAGCAGGGATGGCAGGATTGTGTTGAAGGCAGAGCTGAAGTCCACGAACAGGACCCTGGCGTAGGTCCCCGGGGAGTCCAGGTGCTGTAGGATGTGGTGGAGGGCCAGGTTAATGGCGTCGTCTACAGATCTGTTGGCTCTGTAGGCGAACTGCAGGGGGTCCAGGAGGGGGGAGGTGAGGGACTTGAGATGGGAGAGAACCAGGCGTTCAAATGACTTCATGACGACAGAAGTAAGTGCTACAGGTCTGTAGTCATTGAGTCCTGTGATCCTGGGCTTCTTCGGGACGGGGACAATGATGGAGGATTTGAAGCAGGCCGGGACATGGCAGGACTGCAGAGAGGTGTTGAAAATGTCCGTGAACACAGGAGTAAGCTCACTGGCGCAGTGTCTCAGAGTGGCCGGAGACACGTGGTCCGGGCCAGGAGCTTTGCGGGGGTGCAGCCTCAGGAAGAGTTGTTTAATCTCTTTAGAGGCTATTGTTAAAGTGCCAAAGGAGAGGTATAAAAACATTCACCAATTCCTTTTAGTCCTCTTTACCTTTCACGCATCCCTCTTGTAAAGAAGTATCCTGCTGGCCACACTATCATGGGCCCTGTTTTAGTCTTTGGGCTGAAAAAGAATATTTTCCTTTTCCCCTGTGGGAGAGGAAGTGCTGCTCAGTCTGCCGCTGAGATGGGACCCAGCAGGGGCGCGACACAAGCCCGCACATCTCCCACATCTCCTCAGACTCACACAACATGAGTCACAGGTCGGATAGTCCCAACATTTACACTGCCAGATGGTGCACCTGCTCCTTCAGGGACCGGGAGAGGCAGGCTTGGACAATCAGAGGCGGTCATTCAATATAACCTCTGGGCCTCGACTGCATGTTTACACAAGCAATAACTCCAACACGTAACCTTTCAATGCAAGTCAAGTCAATAAAGACGGTTTTACTTGAGAAGATGAAAATACAATACATGTAATTCCCCGAGCGGTTAAAAAATCCTGCATTCTCGTACGCATTCCTTATTGTTGAAATCATTATGTTTTTTCCTTTAAGGATATAATGTCAGAGCAACTCAAGGGCTGTGTAATTTAGGCATATGTCAGCCTGGTGTGCGTGATGTTTTTCCAGACTGGGAGATCCACGCTTTTTGTGGCTGACAAACAAGAAACAGTCAAGATAGATATAGTGTGCATCTACAACGCCTATAACTGCTCCAGCATGTGAGCAGTTGATGTTTTCTTTATCAAATCAAATCAAATACATTATTTTTGTATCGTCCAGACTCACAAGCTATAGATATAGGACAGTTGAGCGAAGCAGCGCTGACCTCTGACAGAACCAGTATTGACCTGGGTCTGTTATCAACCGCTAACATCAAGGCATCTGTGACTTTTACTTGTGCTGTTCCACTGCTATGATGGGCTCCAGAGTGGAATATTTGAAGTATGTGGTTGTCCTGTTGGTGGCAGTCTATTGTTTTACCACAATTATTCAAAGGATTATAGTTTGGTAGTTTTTTTCTTCTTAAGCAGATCAATTATTACCACTTTCTAATGTATTATTATATTCATGATGTGTTTGATTATTAATGACTACAGTTATACTTATTCACTACCACTTAACTAAATTCATTAATGTATTAAAATTGAGTTCATGGGATGCCAGTCTACAAGTTTTTTCTTCTTACCTCATGTAAAAACTTGCAACATGTTGAGCCACAATTTTTGCAGCTGAAACAATGGCACAGTAGTCTATTCCATGTGTATTGACCTTTTAACCATTATCCAGATGCGAGGGTCAGAACTCGGATTGACCGGTAAAACATTTTCCTTCCGAACAATTTGTACATTGTAACTTACAAATTACAGGTGCTACAAGTTACATAGTAACTTGTAGAACCTGTACTATATCACTCGATATCGCGCAATTGTAGGTTAACCACTCCACCACATAAAAAAAGTAAAAATAGCTCTCTTTTATTTGACTGTGGTGAAAGTTTGATAGCCCTACAATTGTGGCTTGTGTATGACAGCAATTAAGAAGTGTCAAAAATAGATGCATTTCTGCAGGGTGAAGTGTGCGTCTGTGGCACTGGATTTGTAAAAGCCAACAT